TAATATAGTTTAAAATGTTTAATTAATACGGAGTAGTTAAGAAAATAACTCCAATCGCCTAATCAATAATTTACATTTATATTTCTATGAGATTTTTACATATCATATATACTGATATAAATAAATTAAAGCAATGTACCAGAGAAAAAGTTTGGTTTATTCGATTCGATTTATTAAAGTGGAAACCAAAACAGAAACCAAACAATAATGATTCGACTCGGTTTTTTTACATTCGGTTTTAATTTTTCGATTCAATTTTAATTTCTTTCTAACTCGTTTCGATCGGTTTCGATTCGATTTTTTATTTTCGATTTTCCCTACCCTAGTACAATGTGTAAGTGAGTCTAACATGTTCACGTTACACTCGATCAGTGAAAGACACTCACTAATTTGCTGCCCACAACGCTACTACTGATTTACAACACGAAGAGCATGTCCAAACTTTACTCCGGTTAAGTTCCTTCTTGCGGCGGAATCCGGCCGCAAAAGAAAAAAAGAGAAAAGAAATAAGTATATCTAGAGAAACTTGTTTAGTAAATGATATGTTCCACCCATTTCTTAAAACATTTCTCTTTCATTTGTTTATTTTCCCCAAAATATCAATGTTTTGAAAATCGGACTGGACGTCGACCCGGACGAGTTAGTGGGTCAAGAGTTGACCAGTCGAATCGCGGGTCAACGACCTGGTCAACTATGTTTATAATAATAATATTTTATGATGTATATTAGATATTTTTAGTCAATAAAAATATTTTAGTTTATGTTATTACTTCTCCGTCTATTTTTTTAATATCCTTTTACATATGCTATTTCACACCTTCTATTTTTATTCTATTATTTTTATTATTATTAAAAGTTAATATTGAATCTCTAACAAATACTTAAATAATAAGGCGATATTCATATTTTCAAAAATTAAAGACTAGATATTTTATTCTTATATGCATATGACATTTGAGAGTTTACATTTAGTTGATTAAAATGATTGAAAAATATAAAAAAAGCATATTAAATTATACTCCGTAATTAATAAATATTACGGAGTTCTCCATTTTTAAAGATAACAATTTTTTAATTACTCCCTCCGTCTCCCAAAAAAGTTTCCCTTTCTTTTTTTATCCGTCCCTAAAAACATTTTCCTTTTTCTTTTAAAAAGTCACTTTTACCTTTACTAATTCTTAACGTACCTATCACATCACACTTTTTTTCTCTATTAATCTATCCATCTCATCATATTTTATCCATCACATCAAATGACATTTTTGGAAATTCAACACTAAAATACACTCTCCTTAAATCCTAAAAAGTCAAATCGGGAACTTTTTCGTATGAACCTTTTGTAAACCCATAAATAAATATGATTGATACCCATATTTTGAAGAAAGATTGAGTAGCTTACTTGGCCTACAGCTTGCACTAGTGTCCCGGTGCTGCTTGGTTCGAATCCCAGCCTCACTTTCGTCTTTTATATGTTAAAATTTAATACAGAGTAAAATATTGATTTAAGCTCAAATCCGGGAACGGGCAGGGTCGATTGGGAGGCGGGTTTCTTCAGTGAACCAGACCAGATATGCTGCCGATTTACGGGTTGATCGGTCTGGTTTTCAAAACAATGTAAAATATTTCAACTTTTTATTAAAAAATTTCGAAGTTTTTTATTCTTACTTTCTATTACTCTGTCTATTACATCATACTTTTACCCAGTGACGCATCTAGAAAAAATATGATAGGAGGCAAATACACACTAAAGAGTATTTGTATGTTAAAATTTAATACGGAGTAAAATATTGATTTAAGCTCAAATCCGGGAACGGGCAGGGTCGATTGGGAGGCAGGTCCCAGCCTCACTTTCGCCTTTTATATGTTAAAATGTAATACAGAGTAAAATATTGATTTAAGCTCAAATCCGGGAACGGGCAGGGTCGATTGGGAGGCGGGTTTCTTCAGTGAACCAGACCAGATATGCTGCCGATTTACGGGTTGATCGGTCTGGTTTTCAAAACAATGCAAAATATTTCAACTTTTTATTAAAAAACTTCGAAGTTTTTTATTCTTACTTTCTATTATTCTGTCTATCATATCATACTTTTACTCAGTGACGCATCTAGAAAAAACATGTCAGGAGGCAAATACACACTAAAGAGTATTTATATGTTAAAATTTAATACGGAGTAAAATATTGATTTAAGCTCAAATCCGGGAACGGGCAGGGTCGATTGGGAGGTGGGTTTCTTCAGTGAACCAGACCGGATATCCTGCCGATTTGCGGGTTGATCGGTCTGGTTTTCAAAACAATGCAAAATATTTCAACTTTTTATTAAAAAATTTCAAAGTTTTTTATTCTTACTTTCTATTACTATGTCTATCACATCATACTTTTACCCAGTGACGCATTTAGAAAAAATATGACAGAAGGCAAATACACACTAAAGAGTATATAGTGGGGGTTCAAGGAATTAAGCGCTCTCGATTTTTTTAAAAACATTTGACAATGACAAAAAATAAATAAATTTAATTTCAAACACGTATTCAAATAAGAAAGAATTATTTTTAAAATAGAAAAATAAAATATAAAATACAGAGTATATCATAATGATAATATAATTATGATATTTCAAATATTTTACCTGTATATCTTTTTAAGTGATTATTTTTTACTTTTAAACTAAGATTTTCTTTTGTCAGTGGGGGCAAACTAATTTTTGTACGGGGGTTGTTTTTTAATTTTCTACAAAAAAGTTATTTTAACACTGTATATTACAGAGTAAAAAAAGTTGACTGAGCGACTTCCCCGTATTCATACATGTAGATCCGCCTCTGTTTTTACCCATTAGATCAAGGACAACATTGAAAAGTCAACCACAAATATACTTCATCCCTTCCAAAAACTCATTGCTCTTTCTTTTATTACATGTCATATAAAATCCTTCTCATTTCTATTAAAAAATCATTTTTACCCTTATTAATTTTTAACTTATCTATTACATCATATCTTTTTAAGAATAATCTATACATCATATTTTACTTTTATCCATTAAATCAAGGATATTTTAGAAAAATCAACACAAAAATATCACTCACTTTAATTTAAGATTTTAATAATTTTCATGACTCGATAATGATAATTAATATTTTTCTCCAAGACAATGCTTGTTAATAAATTATGACATTAAATCAATTTTTTATTTTATTGAGATAATAATAATATATGAAAATAAACCTACACTTTTTAAAGTCATTGTTGAAAAAAATTGAAAAGGGTGGAAGGAGTTGGAAGAACTTGAAAGAAACTGGAGGAAGTTGAAAGGAATTGGAAAAAGTGGAAGAAATTGAAAGAAAGTGGAAGAAGTTCAGAGTTAATGCTCAAAAGAACAGAATCATAGTGTATTTCGATTCTCAAAAAATGTGAATACGAGTTATGAGCCGTGCAATGCACGTGTGTGATATTAGTACTAAAAAATACAAAAATGGTGAGAGAATTGAAGCAAGCGAGTAAATGATACAATAAAAATCCTAGAGGGATTATATTGTAATTAGTCCCAATTATTCATAACCTCACATTTAATCCAAAAGCCAACCATTGAATGAATCATAGATCGATCATGGCATAATAAGCAGACTTTTCAAGAGGATGATAAAATAGGGAAAACGAGTCATGGGAAGGGGAGTGCAATGTTACAATGATCTAAATGTGGTTGTGTCTAGGTTGGTACACAAGTCAGGGTCAAATCTAATTTTTACGCTTCATTTAAATAGCATTTCATTCGTCCCAATATTATTTTCCCGTTCATTATTCACAAGATCAATCTTTGTTATCTTTGTTGATCTATTTTCATTGCTTATTTGATAAAATAATATAGTCATGTCTCCTCTAATTTTGTAGATCTTTTGACGTAGCTTTTTATTATGTAATTTTTAGTTTTTAACTTCACGCCATTTTTTATATAAACTGATTCGAGAATAATTTTAGTCAAACATCATAACGCGCAACGCAAAAATAATTTTTGGATGGAGGGAGTATTCTTTATTTGATTATAATTGCTCAATAAGAAGGTGGGCCGGAGTGATCACCAATACAAAAGGTGATTCATTTTCTTCTCTTGTGCTCCACAAAAAATAAGCATTTCACTTTTCAAAAAGCTAACAGAAGACATTAGTAAGGAGAGTAGACATCTATCATTCTATCAGTAATAAAAGAAGAGAGTCAAGCTAATCGATCTTTAGTAGACATCTATCAATAAATGATCGCTGAGGCATATATATGCAGCCTTGTCAAGGTGCTGAATTAAGAGTATGGGAATCTACACTTCTGATCATCTTCAGCTAGTATACTTTTATTCTAAGCACAAACATTAAAATGATGCCTCAAATGACATCCTCTCCTAGAGGACAAAATAGGGAAGAAAACGAGTCCACGGGGAGCACGTTGATACAATGATTTAAATATGGCTGTGTATTAAGAACAAATTTTTAGACTTCATTGAAATAAGAAGTAGTTGCGTCGACGATAAAATGGTTTGAAAGACCGTTAAACCAGTGGATGATCAAGAAGGTGGACCGGTGTGATCAGTGAGCTAGCAAGGTTCAACAACAGTGATACAAAGGTGATTCCCTTTCTTCTCTTGTGCACCATACATGACAAGCATTTTACTTTTCAAAAAGCTAAGAGAAAAGGTCAAGAAGGTAAATAGGAAAAAAAAAGTGAAAGACAGCATCAACCAGGGGAATAATGTAAATAATTAAGGCCTCTTCAACCACTGGTGATATAGAATGAGATTCTTAAGCTAACAAATTGAATAATAATGATCATGTTAGAATAACATTAGTATATATTTTCCTAAGAATAAAGCAAGAGTTGTCTCATGTAAACAAAACCAAACCAGACTCTATATCTCATTACACAGACATTATGTAAACTTCTCCAAGAAGTAGAGAAATAAAGACTCACATTAACAACGAATCAAAGAATAATATGGAATTGATAGCATTGTCTAACAGTGAGAAAACAAACTAATTTACTACTACTAACATATCAAAATGCTTGAATACGAATAAAAAAATTGCAATCAATGATACTAAACAAAACTACAAACTAATGTGAAACTGCGTTTAAAAAAACAATCTTTTAATGACTAGGTAATCTTGGCCCTTTTGCGCTCAAATCTGCGTTGATGCTTTTGACGTGCGCTGATTCGTTCCAAGGATTATTACAATGACTGTCACATCGTCGTGGTACTTTCTCCTCATGCCATCCGGGATGCTCAACATCTCTTCCATGCTAAAACCTACATGACAATAAGAGATCATTGGACGATTAGTGTAAAGACGAACATAGATTATTTGGGTTAGTTATCATAAGGAAAGAGTAGATTAGCCGATTAGTGAAAAGAAGATTGAATGGAGTCTCGTGCCTGCACTATTTGCAGCTCTCATAACAAGCTGCTCCACCAGGAACTTTGCCGGATCACCAAGAGTGTTACTTAGCAAGTAGGAATGAACAAGTTTGACAAGCTCGTCGTTGGTGAAGAAGTCAAATAAACCATCACTTCCGAGTATAACAAAGTGGTCCGCACTCGAAATTTCATGAACAAACAAAGACGGTTGCGCAGATACGTATGGAGGACTTGTCAAATTGCGCACCTTAAGGATTCCCATCAATGCCTCATTCATGTTTTTCTGCAACAACAAAGAACAACACAATGGTACATAAAAAAAACAAACAGTTAACATATGTTTTCATATTTCATAATCATTCATAACGATAAACCATTCATACTTCATAATCATAATATATTTTCTTGACTTAGTATAGCTTAGCACATCAGTCGTATCGCACCACTTTGAGTTAAAAGACAATCAATTAGTACCTTTTTCAAGTAACCAACACCAAGAGCCCGAGTGACTTTGAGCTTCCCCTTAACTTTTCCGGCAACAATTGGTGAGGGATCATCAGGATGATCATTCAAGAGTAAATTTCTCTCAAGTTCATCATCAACGGTGTGAATAGGCGTGAGCTGGACAGCTTGTAGCCCATTGCCATCATGTGTATGAACGCAGTCATTGTACGTTGCCAACACTGCGCGACTGTCACCTAGATTGAGCACATAAATGTTCTTTCCATAAAGAAGCGTTAATAACACACAGCTTCCTACGGAGACCAGGTCGGGACGGTCCTCCATTTCTTGTTCAACCACGTAGAGGAAATCATTCTCTGCTTGATTTAGTGCACTCTGAAGGCTATTTAAGACCTTATGCTCAAAAGAGTCACCCAATTTCTCCCATTCCATGGAGGAAAGTCCGATCGGTTTCTTGTCCAGGGTTTCATCTAGGGCTAGACGATCCGAATCACCTCCGGTAGACTCCTGCTCAAGTTCAGAATCCAACATGTTCAAGTAACACCTGACTCTCTCATAGAGAGTCCCAGCAAGAAAATCGGCAGCATCTCTCCCATTGAACCCATCATATATGCCACAGAAGAGCCACCCGTTCTCCTCGGAATGGACAGCCTGAACTCTGTCTTCACCAGCAGCACCGCCCGCAACCTGAACATCCGTCGAATTGCTCAAGAAGCTGTCGTTGCACGAATCGGGGGACGAAGAATTCAGGCTGAAGTTTGAAAAACTGCTGGGCAGGGAGGAGGACAAGAGGGTGGAGAAGGAGGCGGAGGAGGGTATGCGGCGGAAGGATCTGGGGGAATCCAGTGCGGGAAGGATCTCGGTCCCCATCAAGCCATTGCAGATGTTGGTGTTAACCAGAGTGGCATTGGCGCTGAGAGCAGCCCCGGAGAGGCAGGAGAAGGAACTGCTGGCTCTCCGCAGCCGAGGAATTTCAGATTCGCCAAAGGAGCCATTGATGCATCTGTATCCGAAACTTATGTTGATTTCCTGTCCCGATTCCTTCTGGGTTTCGCCGTGCATAGCTTCTACATCCAGAAGAAAGAAAACCATAAATAATAATATAAAAAAACACACGCACCAAATAGATTAAAGAGAGAAAGAAGAAGAAGAAGAAGAGGGTATACCTGGAGGAGATTGAGAACAGGGGAAGCGGGTGAAGCTCAAGAGAGGAGGAGAAGCACGGGGAGGGAATGGATGCGTTTGATTGGGTAGCCCATCTGGTTTTAAGGGGCATCACATTCGCACAGGTCAAGTAGGAGTGGTATTCAAATTTGTTTTGGGAATAAATTTGAAGACTTGGCAATCCTTGTTCCCTTTGATTTCATAAATGTGAAACTTGTACGACTAAAACAAAGTGACTTTCTTAATCTAGGACTTAAACTTTTTTATTTCCTAAATAAGACTTAATAATGTCATCATAGAAGGAATAATGCCCAACAATAATGGACGTTTACTTGAATAATGACTAAATAATAATGACCAAGATCCTATATTGAGAAATAAAAACATATGATCCTATTTTGAGAAAGTCCTTATGTTTTAATCATATTTAGGTAAATTACTCTTCATAAATTTGATGATAACTTTTAATGTTTGAGTTTTTAGAATTATTCTACCACGTTAAAATTTTATAATTCTTTTGTCCCTAAATGATTTATAGGCTTTACTATTCAAAAATGATGGGAATATTTCTTTATTTGTGTGATTTCATTGACTATTTGAATAAATAAAATATTTCTATCATTTCTTATTTTTTAGAACTTTTGATGTATTTTTTAAATATGTGTGTTTTATTTTTTATTTAAATATTAATGTTTAAATAAAATGAATTAAAATTAAATTAAGATTTTACTTCGTTTTGCGTATAGGCTAAATAATTTAGGGACGGAGATAGTATAAAATACTAATGCGAATCAAAAATATTGTTCCTAAACAAGACCTGTGTATATCAATAATATCAACATATATACTATAAAAATATTTTCCCATGCCGATAAGTATTAACACATTATTACAGTGCAAAGTCTTATTTTTATGTTAGAAACATAACATTTGTATTATAATAAATTTTTTTTTTGTATTTTAAATTTTTCTTCTCTACAACACTTTTTAGAAATCGACAAAATAAAACATCGAGTTTTAAAGTTAAATTTTTTTAGTGCCCTTAAAGGTTAAAATAATGATAAAACATAAAATAATATAACAAAAACTTACACTGTCAATATGTGCGTCACATTATCACAGTGCAAAATTTTACTCCATTTTTAATGTTAAAAACATATCATTGTTATTTTTAGGGATAAGAGCTATGTTTATTCTTATTTTGAGTACTTTTTTTACTAGAATCTGATACTCCTTATGTGTTTAAATTATCATCTTATTTTAAACGTTTAAACTATCATCTTTTTTTAATGGTTTTATTTACAAATTACTAAAGATTTTAAAATTACAACTTACATATTTACAAATAATATACTCCTTCCGTCACAAAGTTTATTACACTCTTTGAACTATGCATCGAACCCCGTGATTTTTAAAATTATTATTCATAAGTTGGTATAAAAATAAAAATGAGTTTTTAAAAATACATCAAAAATTTTACAAGACAACATGTGACAAAATTATTTTATTTTTTCAAATAACCAATAAAAATATGCAAAGAAACAACAGTTATCTAGAGATCTTAATAATAAATAAATTTTGTACTCTATCTGTTCCATATCTTTCGTCTCATTTTGACTCTTGGGTTGAACAGTTTTAAACTTTGATCATAAAATACGAATAAAAATACTCGACTGCGATGTAAATTTAATATTAATATATTAACTTTGAATTGTAACTTTGAAATATCATATTTTTACAGTCAATATTTATATACAAATAAAGATATTAATAATCAAAATTTTATACTCCGTAGTAAAATTTGCACTAAAAGTACTAAAATATACAGTATATCATTTTCAAATGTAAAAGCAGTGAAAAATTAAATGGAAAAAAGGATAAGGAACATGGGGAATTAGGGAGTAAATTGTTTGAGGAGAAAGGGGGTTAAAAAAACTAAACGCAAAATTTAGAGATGAGATGGAGGGACTAGGGAGTATATGGTGACTAAAATCCTGAAATCGCGGGGGACGCGATAAGGTGATTTTTTTTAAACCATTTCTAAGAGCACTGGTAATGGTTATAAAGCCCCGGGTTTCAAACCGGGGCTTCAAATTTTCTTTCTCTGCCACGTCAGCTTTAACTTACACCCAAAATTCACTGAAGCCCTGATGCTTCAAATTGGAGCTTCAAACCTTTATTTTTTACATTTTTAAATATACATCTTCTAAAATTGAATTAATAACATTTTATCAATTAATTGAATTTAAATGAAAATAAATTATTAAATAAAAAAATCAATAAAAGGTAAATTAACCAAATAAGATTTGAGTAATGAAAACAAAAATATAAAAAAAATATATTACTTTATGAAGAAATTACTGATTATTCGAGCGACTAAAAATATCTTCATTCAAATCGGGGTTGTAGTAACATATTGCAAACTGAAATAATACATTAATAAAAAATACAGTCAATAAAAAAGTATGTTAAATTTAAAAAACAACAAAAAAAATTACATTACGAAAGAAAATTTAAACAAAAAAATATTACATTAAACAATAAAATATAGAGTAAAAAAATTATGTTTGTGTTTGTTCTATTTTTTTAAAGAGAAAGAATATAAAGAGTAAAAAAATATTTAGTCTTATGGCATTTATGTAATTTTTTGTTGTTTTTTAATGAATGAAGCCCGTGAAATGTTTGAAGCATAAAGGATGAAGCCCCTTTGAAGGGGGGCGGTGTTTGCTGCCCCTTTGGCGTTAAAATGGGCAATAACGCCCCGGGCGTTATGCCCATTACCAGTGCTCTAAGGCTAAACCTTTCCACGCCATCGTCGACCAATCTGTCCTCCACTAGAAGCGCATGGTGAGTAACCGTCAATTTAGGGCAGGGTGGGGGTTTACCGGGGTTAGGAGGGGTAGGAACATCAATCTTACGAACTGGGCACCTGAGCGCCCTCGGGTCATCTTCGACATTGCCCGGCTATGTCATGGGAAACGTAAATGGGAGTATTAAGCTGCTTGTAAGTGGCATTAATGTGTGTTCTTGTCTGATTTTATAGAGTATTAGCGACACTCTAACCATGTGAATTTCTATTGTTGATGTTAGTTAATGTCTGTGCCCAGTCTTGAGGGGCATATTAGGAAATACCAATTACGGAGTAGTATATTAGGAACATTGAGGGTAGTATTGTCAAAAGTGTACCTTACTCTCTTTTCTCTGAACTGTGAAGAAGTAATTGCCTATGTTTATGAATCCCACAGTATATTTGTCTAGTGTCTAATGAATATATGTAACCCAAACCAACCAAATCATACAGATGATCCCCGAGAAGTATGCCAAGAAATACGCGACTGAACTCGCTGAAACTGTCAAGCTCAACCTCACCAGCGGTCGTGAATGGGAAGTGCACATTGTAAAGGCTAAAGACACCGTTTGGTTCCATCGCGGTTTGGAGAGTTTCATCAAGGACAACTCCATTGGCATTCACTACCTCTTGCTCTTCAACTACGCTGCAAACTCGCGCTTCAATGTCCATGTTTTTGATCACACGGTGTCTCAGAGCACGCGAGAGAGTAGCAACGGTGGGCATTATCTGTATCTATCTTAAACCGGTGGTGCTTTAATGGTGATTATTGTTATGATAATTGTTGTCATCATTGTTATTTACTCTGTATTATAATTATTATTATTATTATTATGAGATGGAAATGTATTATAAAATGTTGTGGTTGCTTGTGGAAATTGGAGGATAAGAATGGAGGAAATGGGTCAAGTTGTGTATTGGGGACAAGGAAAACTTGGGGCCATGGTTGGATAAGATAAAGTGTGTGGTTTTACTCCTTCCAATGGAGTTTCAAGAATCAGAAAGAAAAAAACTTCACAGACACAACAAAAAGAGGCATAAATCCATGAACCAATTGCCCAAGCAATGCTTTTACTCTTCCCTGTTTTCTCCCCATGTATGAAGCAAAGTATATCTTCTCCCTAAACTTGAAGCCAATTGCTCCTCTTTAAATCTGCACCCACTGCCTGTTGAAAACAAAACAGGACACACATAATCTCTGTATCCTGTAGCCAATTAGCCATGCCTGAGTCTACATTTACCAGTAGTGATAAAAACAACAAGGCCAACACACTTGGGCAAGAAATCGTGGAGGCCGTCTTGGCCATGACGAACCGAATCAGCAACACTCATCATCATCACCATCTGAAACATGGTCAGAAGGTGGGAGATCCAAGCCAGGCCGGGGAGGAGGACGGCCCCCCCACAAATAGCGTCATCACGCTAGCGGGAACCAACACGGGGGCGAGCATGAGGGGCGAAATGGGCAAGAAATTGTCTGGGGTCGAGGGCGAAAACGAGGAGGAGGAGGAGGAAGAGCAGCTGAAAACTTATGTGAACAGCAACTTCCAAGCCATAAATAACTCCATCATGTTAGGGGGGAGCTATAGCTCCAATGATCCAGGAGTGCACTTGGAGGTTGTGAACTACATGGAGGAGGAGGAGGAGGAGGAGGAGCCTCAGCCTGAAAAGGCTAAGAAGAAGATGAAGAACAAGGGGAAGAAGATTGTGGAGGAGAGCTCTCACTCAAAGGAACAGAGGGAATCAGACTAATTAGTAATTTAGAAAGTATATATACACATATACATACAAACACACATACATATTTTCAGAACTTGTATGTTCATCATTCTTCCACTTTGGAAATGTTATGTTTTATTATGCATTTATTGAGTGTTTTCTTCTGGAAATCTGTTTATCACATTGTTGAAATGAATGAAAATAACATTGCTACCCATGTTTTTCTAAGGTACCATCTTCCAAAATCATTATGCATTTTGTAATTCCCTCCATTGGAATTTTGTTGTCTAATTTTTCTTTTAGGGGTTCTAAGAATACTCCTCCCCTTGTTATGTTTCCTGAACACGGAGTACTACTCTCTTTGTCCAAAAACAAATGTTCTTTCACACAATATCTCTTTTAATAAAGTGAAAAAACTCTCTAACAGATATTAGTATAGATGAGAAAGAATAATTATGAGTCTGAAAGAACTCTATAAATAGGTACATATACTCGAACATTTTAGAACGAATAAAAAAAATGACAAGTCTTCCTAAGGAGTACTAGCATTATAGCCACAAACTTGCTCCAATATATTCTCTTGTCCCACTTTTAATTTGTAGTATTTTGAATTTTGAATTCTTTTGACACTAACATCAAGTGTTATTATAATATGACATTGGATACTTTTAGTAGTTTGTTAGCTTGAAAGTGTTTCTTGCCCCTTGTTATTGATTAACAAAGTGATAGGGGGTAGGAACCATTTTGGGCCCAACCTAGTATCATATCTGAAATGCAAAAAACAGCTTCATAGAGAAAATGTACTTTAAATTTACGAACGAAATTCAACGGCGGTAACACGGAGAGAAAAGTTGCAATCACAATTGTGGAATATGAGGTGCGAGAAAGCACATTGTGAATATGGATATTATTCCTTTCACTCGATATTATTTAAGTACTATTTAGGAAATAAAAAGTGGAAGTACTAGATTGGGAAATGACTTATGTTTTAGTCATATTTAATGCAAGTTTCATTCTAATTATCAGACTCCGGTTAAAATTGTAATAAAAAATATTATGATTTGTTATCATCGTTTTTATTGACTGAATAACATAAATGAATTTGGGTTTTAGAGATATCAAAACTCATTTTTTTTTTTGTTTATCAAACAAACTCTAATTTTTTCTATAGAATTTACTTAATTGTAATCTACTTGTCAACATATTATCATTAATTACTTATTAAAATAAAATAATTGAATCATTCCTATTTTATTATACTTTTACATTTATATGTATAGTATTTTAAGTTTATATAAAAATTTAAATAAACTAATTAAAAATAATTGAAAATCATTTTTTTTTAAATCAGAACTAAAAAAAGTGTACAAACTAGAAACACGCGTATAAAGATAGTACACCGTAATAAATAGGACCCGAGAACGCATTATTCGCCTTCACCGTCCATTTCAATTCTCGCTTCAATCATAACATCTCCTCTTCCTACTTGGAGCGGCTCCTTTTTTTCCCCGCTAGAGAAAACACAGTGAGAAACCGGAAAAAATGGCGAAGAAGCTGGACTCTGTCGGATTTCTCAAGGCGTGCAAAATCCTCATCATCGCGGTGCTGTTCTCGGCCGCCGCCGCCGTCGGAGCGGCGGGTGGAGTGTACGAGATCGGATACTTTCCGATGTCAACAACTTCCGCTTCGTCGAAGATCTGCGAGGGATCGATTGGGGATTGCGTGAGCGCGGACGAGTTCGAGCTGGATTCCGAAAGCAACCGGCGTATTCTAGCATACCGGCGGAAGTACATTAGCTACAGCGCTCTTCGTCAAGGCACCATCCCTTGTAACCGACGGGGCGTTTCCTACTACAGCTGCCACACCGGTGCTGAGGCCAATCCCTACATGCGCGGATGCAATCGGATCACCCGCTGCCGTGGTTGAATTTCTAATTTCCTGGTGCCCTGCTTTCGTTTATGAATTGTTTATCATGATTATTATTGATTTCATATATAAATTCTCATGGTGAAATTGGTGCTGTTAGCTCTTCGGATTTGTGTTTTAATTTTTCTTTCCACGGGGATTATTATTTGTATAAATGGAGGATATTAATTAATTTATCAATCTCGATCTGCTTTATGATTATCAATCTGTTTGAAGCTTGGTATGAACTTCAGTTTGCTGCTCCTCCACTTCGCCGCCGCTGTTCCACCTACAAAACCCCCACCGTCTGGTCATATGTCGTCGTCTTCAGTCGCCGGTTAATGACCCGATTTGTCGGCCTGGGTCCTAGCCGGCACCGGCGAGTCGGCGAACAATACTCCGGAAAAAAATAAATCATGTGAAGTCTTCTGGAAATTATAAAGTGGACTAATATTGCCAGTCCATAACAACAAATTCTAGCTGTCATTTTGTTTTTTTTTTTTTGCATAAAATGTCGCCTCCTACTTTTTGAAAGCTGTGTTATGCGTGTGGGACCATAAAGAATAGGCCGATTCAAAGAAGTATGAGTCAAATTTAGTGACTTTTACTCGGTAATTCTTTACACTTTAATTTTAAAACTTTAAACTATAGAGTATAGACACAAAATTTCAATGTTCAAATTTAAGTTTTTGGACTCCGAATTCTTTTTAAACGAATCAGATTTTACTCAGGGGTAATTTACCTTTAGAGAACTAAAACATAATGATTTTTTTAATATAGGACCATATGTTTTTATTTCCCAATGTAGGATCATTTGTCATTATCTATTAGTCTCAATGTAGTATCATTTATCATTATCTTTTAGTCATTATCATTTGGACAATATTTTTCTCACTAGTCATTATTAAGTCCTATTTAGGAAATAAAAAATTTAAGTCCTATATTGAGAAATGACTTTTATTTTAATCCTATTCAATCAAATTTCACTTTCCAAAACGTATAATCTCTCCGTCTGAAAATGTTCTTCACATTTGATTTTTACGGTGTTCAATATTGTACATTGACCATTAGTATTTATTTTTATAGATAAAGACATTTTATAAAAATTTGATAATATATTGATATTAAATTTATATTATAAATTTTATCCGCAATTAACAAACTTTAATTAATAAAAGTGAAATGTGAAAAATATTTTCGGATGGAAGGAAATTAGTAGAAGGTTGGTCCAAAAATAAATATGTCATTACCGTCGACTCCTATAGAAGGAAGCCCAAACGCCGAGACAATTTCATCAAAGCCCAAGCCTAGGGCCCGCCGCCAAAGTTGCACCACGGCTCATAGGGTAGAAACTTAACTACTCTTAAGTAGATTAACCCCACCATCTTAAGCCTGAAGCATGCTTAACGTTTCTATGTTCTTGTATGAGTAGTATTATTAATCTGTTTGAGCTCTTTAACACGGGGTCTTATAGCCACAATGCGCGTGTGCACATGTCGAGCCAGACCGATGGCATTGGCGACGGCCCTCATATGCACGTTTTTGCAATCCTCATAAAGCTTTTACATACTCTCGCTTTCGTAATAGAGCGTTTATGGGGTACGTTCACAATGTGGTATGAAATCCCACAAAACCAACCATTTTCTTATATTCAACAAGTCAACTTTAAAAATTAATTTCTCATTCATCTGTTTACTATTTATAGCATATATTATATCAAGACTTTCATCTCGTTTCAGAGAACATACTTCAATTAAATAAGAGTCAAAATCATTAGTCTCTTCAAAATTTGTCAATTTGATGCCTATGTCCCAAAATGTAAGCAGCAGTTACTATTTTGGCATTTCGATAACTTTTGTTTGTTTACTCGTTTTAATTGACCATTTGATAAAATAAAATATTTCTGTCGCATTTTGTTTTGTAAAATTTTTTATCTATTTTTGAATGATGTAATTTTTATTTTTTTTATTTCTCTATTAATTTGTAGATAAAATAATTTTAAAAGAGGTTATAATCTGTACATTGTTCGAAATATTGCTTAGATTTTAAGACTGACTATAATACCTATAGATATAGATGTTGAGAGGCAATTATTGTCATGAACCACAAGAAGCATTTTGTTAATAAATGAGAGAAAATACTCAAAAATAAGAGAGAGTTATGATTTTGAATTTTATTGATCTTAATTTTAATGGTGTCTTTGCAGAGATATTAAATACCTATTTATAGTAGAAAAACTTAATATGAATACAAATACAAGTGGAAATGATTGTACAAAAATACTGCTCCACAATGGGTGTATTAATCTACTATTCTAAAAACTAAGCTTGATTAATTGAATAAATGAACCATCATTAATTTAATTAATTTCGTAGCACATTTTTGTTTTTGTTTAATACTTCATCTATCCCTGAAAACCTTTATCCTTTCTTTTTTCATCCGTCACAAAAAACACTTCTTATTTCTATTAAAAAGTCACTTTTACCCTTTACTTTTTCATACTCTACCTATCACATCATAACTTTTTACTAATAATCTACTTATCAAATCCTACTTTTACTCATCACATCAAAAGACATTTTTGGAAATTCAATACCAAAATATACTCTTCTTAAATCTTTTCAAAAAACAAAACATCCCGTGTTTTATGGGACGGAGGGAGTACATTTTTGTTTTTGTTCCTAGCATTGTTGTTTGGATCATGTTAGGGTGCCACCACATGGGTGCTACCATGGGTGTACCCATGCTTCGCACAGACAAACACAGACGATAATTCGCACATGGATGAAGCCATGGTAAAACCTATGTGGTGGATTGTTGTTTTTGTTTTTGTCCTGGATCAAGCATTTCACTAGGGTTTTCTTCTTCCCGTTTTCACTGCGAGCTAGCGTCGCGGCATTACGAACCAATCAATCAAACCAAATGTTGCACTCCCGGCGTCTGATTCGGAAAACCCTTACCACCCAAATCCCTGAGATCCACCGTCTCCGATCTCTGTCCACCGCCGCCGACATCCCGGCGCCGTTTCGCAAGAACCAGCACCAGCAGAACCACAGCTTCCTGCCGCCCAACGAGTACCTGAACTCGTGGAAGCCGCCGAAGGATCCTAAAGAGGCGGAATACAAGCTCGCCCTTCTCCGCCGCGACTATGCCAAGAAGGTCAAGGAAGTTCGCAAGGAGTACATCAAGGAGATGGAGGTCATGCGACTCGAAAAGCTGAGGAAAACAGAGGCTAAGAAGGAAGCTATGAGGATCGCCAGTGAGGAGAGGAAGGCGGCTAAAGCCGCCGAGAAGAAGGCTAAGGCCAAAGAGAGAGCTATCTTTGAAGCGCAATTCCGCCAAACCCTAGTAAGTGAAATTTGCCATCTTTGTTTTCACTCAATATGGACCATCCTGTCATAACTGTAGCAGTATAATTCTTTCACATTGTCTGCAATCAAATTTTTTAATTTTTTTAGTAGAGTTGCCGAATTCTTTTCGTGCTTGCTTGTTCTTATTTCATCATAATTTTTAATTAATGCGACCACAAGTTTAACTTAGATGTAAGTGCCTCATTGGCAACAACTTCAATTTCAAGCTTTATACTTTTGAAAAGGCTATCTAATTCCGACATTTAATGTTAGTGTTTTCAATGTTAATCTGTACTCCTAATCTTTCATCCCAAAATGTTAACGCTATTTGAGAATATTGTTCTCAAACAAGGCCTAAGAGTGAAGCATGGTGCACTCTAAGGAGGGTATCACCATAAGAGTGTGATGTGGGTGGCATATTTGGCGTGAAACATTAATGGAAGGGCAATTCCAGGAAGCAAGAAGGAGGTCCCTTTCTAAGCATTTGGCGACCTATATCTTGTTGTTTGTGAAGTTTTACACCAAATGCTCAAATCGCCTAATATATTGAAGAATTTGTTTATAACTTCAACGCTGAAGACGTATGGAAAAGGCTGGACTTTGTTTGTAGAGGCTGTGCTAAATTTAGTCAAACCAACAGACTCTACAAAACATGTTAGAATGATTCATGATTATTTTTTTGGTTCTATGTGGGAGCTTTTGTTTGGAACGGAGGTAGTAGTACTCTGTTAGTGTCACATCTGCATCTCATTAGTTACCTGAACGCCTAAATTGCAGAAAAGTTGATTGGGGAATAAGCTATTTTCTGGCTGCTACTCGCGGCATTAGCTTTGCTTCCTGTTATCTTCTTAGGGACATGGTTTTCCATATGGACTGTGGAAAGATTTTATTTTTCAAACAAAAAAAACTTTGTCATCTGTCTTTTTGAGGATGATTATAAGTGCTTTGTTTCTTGATGCATGTAGGCGAAAGAAAGACAAGAGAAGCTTGAATATTGGAAGATGAGAGAGAAGAAATTTGAAGAGAAGAAAAAAGAAAAGAGAGAGCTTTTGCATAAAAAAAGCTCAATGTGGATTGATGAGGATGCTTTGGGAAAAAAGGCACTTGAAGCCATTGTTAGCCCTGAGGTCTTCTGATTTTTTTTGGTATTCAGCTTAAAAGAGTGGGCTTGTTTGTTCTGGGACCAGGCGTATCATGTTGGTTCCGAAACTGGTATGAATTAGTTACTACAGAGTAATATGAAAGAATTTATTATAAAAAAATGAGTGTCTTCCCCAATCTATTGTAGTCCTCATCGATGTTGAATAGTAAGGTGTTGATTTTGAGTACATCTATTATCGTTGAATAGTAACATGTTGAGATCATGTTCATATACGGAGTATTAATTACTAATAATTGGTGGCGATTTAATCATGTTTTGAATTGTGTGTGTGGTGATCATTTGCAACGATGGTGGCTATAAGTGGATGATGATGATGATGATGGTAGAATGTGGTTGTTGCCTTTGATGGCAATGATGGCGATCAAGGACGAAAGCAATTGATTGTTGATGTTTGAGGTGGTCAATGGTAGTGGCGGCATCTTTGGTGGTGGGGGTTGGCGGTGATAGCTGTTGGTGGTGATGGTTTCAGCTAGCGGCAGAAGGCTGCCGGGAATGGTGGAGGCCGAAAACTTGACAATATGGTTGCAACTCGTTATGGGGGGGTGGGGGATGGAAGTGGGAACCTAGAATGGTTCCAGTTAAGAGCAATTGGCAGCATTCTTGGCGATGGTGGCAGCCATAGAAAGGTGGTGTCAAATTAAACAATGCTCAAACAAATGAAATCTAAGTGTGTGTTTTGGTTGGAGGTAGGATACTCATTTGTGTGTATCTACTCTCCTATGAAGTGACACCATATATGGCAGTCATTCTAAATCTGATTGGTCTCAACTGCGAAACACTAGTTCACATGATTATTGTATTGAAAATATTTCCTCCCTCCTAAAATTTCTTTCTCAATTTTTTTGACTTGGCACGAAGATTTTGAAAAGTTAAAAAGTGTAAAGATTTTTCATGTCTGTCTTTGATGTGATAGAATAAGTAAATAGTAAAGATAAAAAGTAAGGATATAATGATACATTCATTAAAAAAATTTGCCAAGATAGAAAATGAGAAAGAAATTTTTGATCGATCCAAAAAAGAAAGTAATAAAGAAATTATTAAACGGAGGGAGAACTTTTTTTTATTTCTTGCAAACATTTAGGCTATGTTTGGTAACAGAAGGAAGTGGTTTGAGGAAGAAAATGGAATGGAAGTGAACACAAAGAAAATAGATTGGAAATTTAATTTCCATTGGTTTATTTGGTAGGAAGTGGAATAGAAATTCGCACTCCTTTCTATCCTCAATTAAGCTTCTTCCCTCCCCTCACTCCTTTCTCAAACATGTTGCTGAGTTTGAAACTTTAAACCCAAAACCAAAATCGTCACTCTTCTCTCAATTGTTTGTCTAACTGGTGGAACCCAAATTCGAAACCAGTAACCTTCATGGATGAGTTTTAATGTTTATTTTCTTTGCAATTTCTTGAGACTAACCGATAAAACTCATCTATAAAGTTTATTGATTTTGATTTTAGGTTTCACCAGGAAGACTAATAATTGAAAGAAGAATGATCATTTTAATTTTGGGTTTAGAACTTCAAACTCAACGACGAGTTTGAGAAAGAGTACGAGAGGATGGAGGAAGCTCAATTGAGAAGTATGAATATACGTAGTACAATTTTATCCATGTTTTTAACAAAAAAGTTAACAAAAGACCATTCGTGAAAAATAATATAATAATTAGGGACTAAATTAGTAATATTTGACATGTAGGGACTAAATATGTAAAGCGACCTATAACAGTAGACCTTTTATGGAATTTACTCATTTTGTAACTACGAATGTCTATAGGAAAACGACATCATTTGAAATAGTTCCCCAAGTATGAAGTATAATTATTTTTTGTATTCCTTCTCTTCCAATTTAATATTTCTATTTTATTATTTAAGTAGTACTAAAATAAATTTTTCATTCGTCAAAAAAATTGGAACAAGTACTCTATATGCATTCTCACTTCTCCATAAACTTCAACCAAATTATTTGTCTTAAACTCCATAAAAAATAAATAAAGAAAAATTAATTTGGGACAAATAAAATATAAGGAAATAATATTGTACAACAACAAGAATAAGCACATCCCAAAAACATCAAGGTTCCCATGATGTCATGGGATGACCCGGGGGTGCTCCGGTATCCCATTTATAAAATTGATGGTTCCTACCCCCCTAACCCCTCGGTAAACCCTTCACCTCGCCCCGACCCGAACACGCCCCCCCACTTCCTCCAGTTGCACCCATAAGTTGATTTTGACTTTGGAGTCAAAATTTGACTCCAAAGTCAAAATCATCTTGTGGGTGCAACTGGAGGGGGTGGAGGGCGTATTTGGGTCAGGGCGGGTGAGGGGTTTATCGGAGGTTTAGGAAAATAAGAACCATCAATTTTACGAATGGAGTACTGGAACACCCCAATTCATCCCATGACATTGGTTCCCAATGTGATAGGAACCTTGCCCTCCAAAAATGGAAAAAAAGAAACTACAATAAGCAAAATGACCTTATCACTTGCCTAATTTGGTCCTTATGACATGCACGCCCACCGAGGCGGAGGCACCTCCCCAATCAGGACTCGCTCATCAGACATTCGCACCGCCCAATCGGCGTTCAATTCGCTCCCACCTTCGACTGCCGGAAGCTGCCGTTCGGCGTGAGACACAATTCGACCGGTAGTGAAACTGTTCCGATCCGCCGATTGTCCTCTCTCTCTCAGGTACTTCCTCTTTAATGCGCTCGCCGCCGTGTCCATGCCTTCATCGTTAAGCTCCGTATGGTATTCATTGATCGATTCTGTTTTCCTCATTATTGCTCGTCCTTCAGTATTTTCCGATTACGAATTGTTATAGGTTGGGTGGTGAAGTTCTTGATGCTGTCAGTTGTTATTACTCTCGAAAAATGCTAGGGGTACACCAGGTGTACCCCATTTGTCCTCCATCCCCTCCATCACCACACAAACCATCACCACACAAAAAGGCAAGAAACTAAAACAAAATTAAATAAATAAAAATAAAATAAAATTGAATGGTAGATAAAGGGGTGGGGGACAAATGGGTACACCCCTTTTTGTGTACCCCTAGCATTGCTCTATTACTCTCTCCCTATCAAAATAAACCAAACACTTACTTTCCTTTTTTATCCATCCCTAAATAAAATTTTATTTCCATTTTTGGTAATGATATCTGTCCTTCATTTTCATTTTTTTGCGTGCTATTGACTCGATTACAATTAGTATTTGATCATACTTTTCTCAATTTAATGACGCACAAAGAGTCAAAGCCTCCGCAAGCCAGGGTCCATCATTATTTCTCTTGTTTATAACAATTCTAACCACACACTTTTCAATTTACACTTTTAGCTGTGTTTGGCCAAATTGGACTTTTAATTACATAAGGAGGGAGTATTTGTATATGATCATAATGAGGGGTTTTAATGTAAGGCTGGTTTTGAATCTGGAACGCAGGTTGAATTAACGGGTCATGGATGATGACACAGGGCAGCTTAGAAGAGCACTTATTGATGCTACTGCAGGTGCGATTTCGGGTGGCATATCGAGGACTGTGACGTCTCCGCTCGATGTAATTAAGATCAGATTCCAGGTAATTTCGCACCAAGCTGTGCTGCTTAATTTTGGTTATGACGTTATGTATGGAATTGAGAAATAGTGGTTTTTTAAATTAAAAAAAAGTTGCTTTCAGGTTCAATTGGAGCCTATTTCCAAGTGGCCATTGCTCGGCAATGATGTGTATCAACCCTCTAAGTACACCGGGATTTTGCAAGCAACAAAGGACATCTTCAGAGAGGAAGGCTTACGGGTATTGCATTAATTCTTTTTGCTTCTTTATGATTTATTTGGTTGTGTGAGGGAACCCATGTGTGTTTTCCGTTGCAGAAGCCGAAGGTTGGAATTATTACTCTCATCAGGCCGTATCATTACAGCCTTCCGTGTTCAAGGTGTTAGAGTTTGTTCAATTTATCCATTAATTTTGGAATTTTGTTACAGGGCTATTGGCGGGGTAATGTTCCTGCACTTTTGATGGTCATGCCATATACGGCCATACAATTTAGTGTGTTGCATAAGTTGAAAACCATAGCTTCTGGATCTTCAAAATCAGGTCTTTCATCTGACTCTACTGAACTTGTGTATATGCACCTTGTTATAAAATATGTATCCATTAATTTGTTTTCCACACGTATAAGCACCATATGTCATTCCAATTTTTTTTCTAGAATTCATTACTCACGCATTTATGAGTTGACATTACTATCTTGCATTTCTGTGCCAATAAGGAATAACATTTTGGGTCTGATGTTCTGTATATGCAGAAGATCACATTAATTTGAGTCCAATTATCTCATTCGTCAGTGGGGCATTAGCAGGCTGTGCAGCTACTATTGGATCATATCCATTTGACCTGTTAAGAACAGTATTAGCTTCACAAGGGGAGCCCAAGGTGACTTTATGAATTTATTGATGGATACACAATATTATATTGGTCAAAGTAACATGTAGTCATACTTGAATTAAATTATTTCAAAGAAAATGACTCTATGGGCCAACCACTGACTTTTCAAATGGACAAGAAAAACAATACCATTGATTCAAACTAGCAATAAATTGATAGAAACACATTCATATCTCCAACATATTGATGATCATAATCCCTAGGATATCTGACCGTGACAACTCTGGGATGGGATATCCTTTGCACGTCTTAATGACCCGCACAAAAATGAAACACTGCAAAAAGAGAATGAACACCCCAAAAGCTGCCGCAGGATGTTAAACTTATTAAATGAAACTTTCAAAATAACCTAGATTTATGCAGAACACAACAAAGGTTGCCTACAATTATAGACGGTGATTCCTAACCAATATGGTCAGAAATCACCCATTGCTCAACGAAGGTTGCCTACAAAGAGGCAAAACAATAGAAAAGAGGAGGTAAAAGGTAGATGAGTGATCAGGGTTTAGCACTTGCCCATTTAAACGTAGTCTTGCATCTTGCATACGATCTTCACATTCATATCATATTGGTATATAAGTATTTTGGGGCTAAAGTGGAGCATGCAATTGTAGGTATACCAAAACATGAGATCTGCTTTTGTTGATATACTTAGAAGTCGTGGGATTCAAGGTCTGTATTCTGGACTGAGTCCCACCCTTGTGGAGATCATTCCCTATGCCGGTTTACAGTTTGGAACTTATGATATGTTCAAGCGCTGGACAATGGTATAAAATTCTTACTCTCTTTCACCTACCTTAAGATAGGCAATACATTTTCTTGACTGGCTTGGTCTGCAATTTTCTCTATAGGCTTGGAACCATCGCAGGCAATCAGGCTTTAGTGAGGTTGATTTTGCTCCTTCAGGATTCCAGCTCTCTCTTTGTGGTTTAGCTGCTGGAATAACTGCTAAAGTTGTCTGTCATCCCCTAGATGTAGTGAAGAAAAGGTTTCAGGTATATGCTTTACTTCTGCCTCATGATTTTTTAGTTTATGGTTCACATATTGCCATAGAGAGAACAAACATTAATCACTCCTAATGTACTTCGGTGATAGTCGTTTTTGTAACAACAACAACAACCAAGCATTATCTCACTAGGCGGAGTCGGTTACATGGATCAAACGATGCCATTGTGCCCTATCCACTATCCAGTACCATATTTGCAGTGAGATCATTCACGTGATATGTTTCCCCTAAAAAATAAGAATCTGTTTTCATAACCTCTTCCATAATAAGGATCTGTTTTTGTAACCTCTTCCACAATAAGGATCCGTTTCACCTAAAAATAATGTGATATGTTTACCTTATTTGAATTGCTTATTACTTGTTCTTATTTTAATCAAGCCATACCTCAAAGATTTAGGTCACACCAGGTATTATATTTCAAACAAAACGTATAGACGAGACCACACCATAAGAGATTTTTCGGTGGAAGAGAAAGATCCTATGTTTATTTCTTAAAATATAACATATGGTCTGATTTATATGAATCTTGCTGATGCAGTTTGATTAAAATAAGAAGAAATAGTTATCGAAAAAGATGAAGAGGACACCACCTTAGATATGCACACTGCCAACTATATTGTGAGAAACACAGTGAAATATTTATATGTGCCATTTTATTGTTGCTCAGGGTTAAGAGGTAACATAGCAGTAGGAGTTAGGCTAGAGGATAGTGGAGTGAGTAAAGTTTACCCTGTGTTTCTGTAGAAATTGTTAAGGAATACATGGAGCCACTACGAATAGCTAACTACTACTCCCTCCGTCCATAAATAAAGTTCTCGTTGCGCGTTACGATGTTTGACTGAAGTTATTTTCAAATCATTTTATATGAAAAATGGTATGGAATTAGAAAATAAAAATTACTACATATTTTAAAACTAATGAAAAGATTTACAAAACAAGAGGTGGCATGACTATATTATTTTATCAATGAGGACACAGAAATAGGCCAACAAAGTGATTAAAGTTTGACCGTGTGAATAGTGAACGGGAACTCTATTGTTAGACGGAGGGAGTATTAAAGATAGAATTTAGAAACCATCTTAATTCAGTTTGTGAATTGTGACTGTAGTTTAGTTGATCTCCCTTTTTTTCATTTAAGTTTTTGCTCTAAACACAAATTGAATTTTTTTTGCATTGAGCTCACATCGATAGTCGAATGGGGTTGAGAGGTGTTGAGTCCATTGTAGAGAGGTGAATCTCACTTCTTGAAGATTCTTTTGTGGTGAGTTATACCCCAATTTAATAGGGTATGAGTCCTCTGGTCAGATAATGTTTTATGGATTGCCCACCTATATTATGGTTTGAGGCATCGTTTATATGTTTTGTTATGTACGTAACTGCTTCTCAGTTTATATGTTTCTTAGCATATTTGTCCACTCGTCCGTTGTTTAGGGCTGTGGGGCGTGTTATATCTTGCATTAGTTGTGTATTAGGTTCGTGTCTAGTTTTTAAGTTTAGCACAAATCTCACATGAAGAATTCTTTTTAGGTGAGTTACGTCCAATTGATAAAATTTTATCCTTCTTACCAATTTTCAAATAATTCCTTTGCAGATTGAAGGCCTACAGAGGCACCCGAGATATGGAGCACGAGTAGAGATCAACGCATACAAAAACATGTATGATGCTCTGCGTAACATTTTTCTCCAGGAAGGATGGGCCGGGCTTTATAAGGGCATAGTTCCATCAGTCATCAAAGCCGCCCCAGCAAGTGCTGTTACATTTGTTGCCTATGAATTTACCTCAGAGCGGCTAGAATACTTTCTAAGGCAAAGCTTTCACAGTTTTCGTTCTCCGTCTACTACTGAGGCAAACGAGTAGACCTTTTCCTCGTTCTTTCGTCAACTTATTTATAAGCAAAGGGGCCTCCGATGATGGAAATACCGGTCACTGGGAACTACTGCTCACCAATGTTGCATGAAAGCTCTCAAGTAAGTGCTGTTTCATGTCTCATTTGGGGTTTTTGGAAGAGTAGTGCTACTTTAACCCATGGATGACACCATCACAATCAGGCATGGATAGTGTGTGACACACATAGTCATTGTTGTAATACAGTGACTGTCAATCTTGGTGTCACCCTTGGTGTCAGTGTAGCATGACCCATTTTAGAATGACCCTCACAACCAAATCTTTTCTACGTAATATTTAGAGAAGTTGGTATTTCCCGTTCCTGTTTGAGTATCTGTCCACACCTCCTTGCAACATAGTTCATCGCTTCTTAAAAATCCCACGGCCACCTGTAGCATATTTAGTGGCAATGTAGAATGTTGTCATTTACGTACGGATATAAAACATTTTGTTTTTGTAATAGAGGTTTATGTGGAACTTCATAAATATAGATTCACTTGTACAGATAGAAAATTGTTCAGTCAGAAAGGCCAAGGGGAGTGGAATATTGTTATGGTGTACCTCATAGCTAAAAAGATATGTAACACTACATACATTATGGAGGTTCAAAGTACAAACACAATCATATACTATGCCTTTTTTTCCTCTGCAAATGCCATTTTGAAGGGGGAAGAGTGCTACATGCTTTTTAGCGTTTCTTCTGAGGTTGGTATTTGTTTTAGCACACACACACACACACATCATTGTTTATCTCTATATTTGATTCATATAAAATGTTCATGCATGTAATCTTTTTCTGATTTATTTTTTTGTCATTTGAAAACCCGTATGGGAATCATTGTCCGGATAAACCCCTTCTATAAAATAATAGTCTTATCACATCTTTTGTAGAACTTTTTATGTGGTTATTTATTATACTCCGGATAATTTAATTTAGTTTTAAAATTTTACACTTACAAAACATTAGTCCTATTATTGCATAAGAGTTATTTATGCTTATAATGGGTTATTTATTATACTCCGGATAAAACTTTTACAAAACAAGATGTGACAAGACTATATTATATTTATCAAATAATTAACGAAAATAAAAAAATGATTAAAGTTTGAGCATATGAATAGTAACTGAAAAAAAACTTTTTAGGGTGAAGGGAGTAATGAAAATGCTTTCATTTCATTGAAGATATTAAACTATAAAATTTGAAAATTTTGTGTTTAGAGTTTAAAAAGCCTCCCCTTGCTACCTTTTTTTCCTTCTTTCCCCTAGGAATTGAAGTATATAATGACACATAGACACTCGGATCCCACCGGATTAGAGAAGTATGAGTGGGATTTGAATTTCTCCTAGAAAACAAAAAAATGACAGAGAATTGGGGAGGTGGCGGCGACGAAGGGTGCGGTGGTTTGAGGGCGGAAAAGGAGCAGCACCGCCTGCGGCTGCTTCTACCCATAGCCAACGTCGGAAGGATCATGAAGCAGCGGCTTCCGGAAAATGCCAAAGTCTCGAAAGAGGCCAAGGAGACAATGCAAGAGTGTGTGTCGGAGTTTGTGGGCTTCGTCACTGTAGAGGCGGCGGAGAGATGCCGGCGTGAGAGGCAGAAAACGGTTAACGGAGACGACGTTTGTTGGGCCTTGTCCATGTTGGGCCTTGCGTATGTATAGGGAGCAAGAGAACGAAATAAGAAGTAAAAATCACCTTAAATAGGACTAAAATATAATATCCCGGAGTAAGAGTTTTATGTTTTTATTCCTAAATAGAAGTTCATAATGCGGTAATGTGACATTGTACATCTGTATTTTACGTAATGTAAATGGTTATGATTGGTAACGTAAATGCATTTTAACTTCAATTTTGGAAATAAAGACATGAAAGTCTTAGGGACTGTTTGTTTCAGCCTCTTAGTGGGTTCAGACTGTTTGTTCCAGCCTCTTAATGGTTCAGATGTCTGAATGATTAAGAGATTTGCTTCTGAATGGTTAAGTATAATACAGACTCTGAATGGTTAAGACCTCTTATCTGAATTGATCAGACATTTTCCTCTGAATAGTTAAGCAATATACTAGCTCTTAATGGTTCAGACCTTTTATTGGTTCAGCACTTAATGGTTTAGACCTCTTGCTGGTTCAGCACTTACCTATTCGAAAGTTGCCAAACAGCCCCTTATTTTAGTATATTTTTAATGTTTTACTTCTATTTTAGTCTTTTTTTCTCAATAAGAAATCTAAGATCAATTAAACCACGTGAGATGCATGCATGAGTGGTTAGGGGCGGTTGCTTATACTACCTCTGTCCCTGAGTATTTGTCCAATTTTGACTTGTTTCGATCAACTATTTTTAACCTTTCACTTATAATTATATAAAATATATATTTTCTATTAATTAGATAAAATAATATTTTGAAAATATCTGACATAATAATTCTAATAAAACTATTTTTGTATCAATATCTGGTATCATTTTTATTTGATTTGAGGTCAAAATTTATCAATTTTGACAAAAAAATAAAAAATGGACAAATACTGAGAGACAGGGGAAGTATGACTTTTTAGTATTATTGACTTGCTTGCACTTACAAAGAGTTAATACCTTCGTCTCTATTGGAGCCGTACTTGGTGAACCTCTCATGGACTAAGGTTCATGCCACTCATGTAATTCCAATTTAAACAAAATAAAAATTTTGGTAATTAAGATTGACGAAATTAAATAAGCAGAACTAGTTTTTGTGAGGTTACTAGAATTTAAGGACTGAAATTTATATAAAGAATTGCGAAAAGTATGTCATAATCACTTTTAATGCAATGCAATGGATTGACAAAGGTATTGATCATCCTTCAAAAACATGAACAAAACAAAAAATATTTCCACAAAAATGAGAGGAAAATGAAATACTTCTAATGAAAATATAATTTACGTATATATTCTTGATGTTGAAAAAATTACACTTCTAATGGAATGAAAAGGTAAACAAGTTAATGAGAAATTTTCATATACAATTACCCACAATTTTTGTGAATGAAAACATTGGCAATGAGTCAATGCCAATTTACTGTGACAAGTCAACCTATGGAATTTTGTGGTCGCTATGGGTTCCTTTAGTATCCAAGTCCATGAAAAGCTAACGAATTTATTAAAGGATGCCTTGGTTGGTACCGATACAATATCAAATATTTCGATTCGGTATGCTATTTTACACGTACCGATCCCGAGTTCGAATTATCGGTTTAATATGATTCAGGATGATCCAGTTTCAGTTTGGGAAAATATTGTGATGAAAACATATACGTACCTAGTTTACACTTCGAAATGTACAAAAAATTTTATTTGAAAAAAATTCAGAAGTACATTCAAATAAAGAAAGATAAACAATTGAAATGTTTGTCCTAGTTTAATTAAATGCAAGAAATTAATGTTTATAAAACTTAGTTTAATTTATATTTCGTATTTCACAAACAATAGAGAACGAATGATATAAAATAGTACCTCAAATGTTTGTTAATTTTTTATAGTCATCTACGAAAAATTAAAATTCAACTAAATAATTATTTATATAAAAGATTATTTTATAATTTTTCTGCACTTGAACCTACTTTTCAAAATCAATTTATTTTTTTAATGAAGAAATATAAAAACATTACTCCGTATTATTTTGTAACATATTTGTATATATGTTCGGTTCGAGATTTTTTCGATATGAGAAGTTACTTTTTTCGATATTTTTTAGTTCGGTAATTTTGGTTTTTTCAGGAAAATTTGGGATGGGTTTAGTACTTGCATGCTCACCCCTACGAATTTTGATGAAAAATATATCCAAACCCTGTTATTCTAGTTAAAAAAATTCAACTATTTATCAAGAGAAATTAAATCGAGCTTGTTTAATAAAGATAAGGTATATATTTGGAGTTATACATCAAAAGAAGACGAGGATTGAGGATGTGATCAACTATGTTTTGGGTTATGTTTAAAGTATCTTGTTTTTTAAGAAAGTGATGTAATTTGTGTTGACTTGTAGAAGTTTTACAGTTTGTTTTTATTACACAGTAATTGTTACTCCCTCCGTCCTAAATTTAACTTCTCACTTTCCTTTTCAGGCTGTCCTAAAATTATCTTCCCATTACTTAAAATGGCAACTTCTATTATATCAAATGACAATAATACCCTCTAACCTATCCTTTCTTTTTTCCTTCCTAATTCTCACGTCCTCCTTTAACCCCAACCTCATCCGTTTTCTTTAATTTCTTCTTAATTCTAACTTCTACTTCTCATAATCTCATCCCAGCGACCTTCTCTTTCTTATCTCAAATCTCAATTTTCCTTTTCGATTCGAATTTCCTTTCCCTTCACGAGATTTCATTTTTTTGTCTTTGATTTTGTTTTCGTTGCACTGCANCCTTCGTATCTACTGATATACATGAAGCGTATATATATGCAAAAAAAATTTATTTCAGAACAGATGAATCGATTCTGTTCCAAAAGCTTGAATTTGTTGGATATATATGCTTGTGGTGGTTGGATGATTTTTGTTGGAGTTAGGCAAGCTCACGTCAATAATCAGGGGCAGCGAAGTAGAAGGGTTGAGGGGCAATTTTGGAAAGTCAAAGGAATTTTTACTCTTTCTTAAAAATGAGCTCAAGTCAAAACGGGAAATTAAATATAGGACGGAGGGAGTATTTGGAATGGATAATGATATCTGTGTTTAGGGTGCAACAAATATTCTTCAAAATTAATTCCTCTTGTGTCAAAAAAGGTGTTTAGGGTGCAACAAATATTCTTCAAAATTAATTCCTCTTGTGTCAAAAAAGGGAGAAAGACCAAAATAAAACTAAAACATTGAAAATATACCAAAATATGACTTTCATGTTTTTATTCACGAAATAAGACTTAAAATGCAATTACATTACCAAAAATGGTCATGTACATTATTACCAAAAAGTATATAGTAATGCATACATGTACATTGTCACATTACCACAATGCGAAATCCTATTTCGGGAAAAAAATATGAAAGTCTCATTTTGGTGTTATTTTCTACGGAGTATATTTTAGTCCTATTTATGGTGATTTCTATCAAAAAAAAATGAGGGACTTTTCTCCTTTGAAAACTGGTACAAAACTCTGGGTAATTTCTCCTTTGAAAGAAGGCCACTCCTTAGGTTCTCCTACACTACTACTCTTCTCTCCAATCTCAAGATTATTCATATTTTCCCCCCCTTGGAATGAGCTTGAAGCTAATCCATCATCAATGGCTACTTGGCGAAAATTATGTACTCTTCTAATATATAAACCCTTAAATATTAACAAAACTTTTCGGTTGTAATTACTTATTTGATTAAATAATGTAACCATGCAAGACTAGGGCTGGACACGGTACCGGTTCGGTACCGTCACCGGAAACGGTACCGCCGGTACCGAGCACCGTAACGCACACCGGCACGGCGAAACGGTTCCGAGAACCGGCACCGGTACCGCCACAACCGGTCTCGGTTCCGGTGCCCGAAATTCGTTACCGGCACCGGTTAATTTTTTTTTTCGTTTTTTGCTCCTTTCTGCTCTCCATCTCCATCCATCTCCGACCAGGTGCCTTTTTCATCTCCTTCTCCATCTCCTTTTTCAGCCTTCTCCATCTCCTTTTTGCTCCTTTTTTCACAAAACTCAATAAAAAAGCAAAAAAAAAAAATTGGGGTTGGCCGGTCCGGTACCGGAACCGCCGGTCCGGGTACCAGAACCGCCGGTCCGGGTACCGGAACCGGTACTGACAGGTCCGGTCACGGTACCGGTACCAAGGGGTGGCGGTACCGGAACCGGAACCGTCCCGGAACCGTACCGTGTCCACCCCTATGCAAGACATTTCTTGTTTCGTAGAATTTTTGATGTAATTTTTAAATATATAAATTTTATGTTTTAGTTACACACCAATTCTCAAATAAATTATGAGGGAGCTCTCTAGATAAGAGTAAAAAGTTCTAAGTCTTTTAATACAAAAATATAAGTTCACATTGACATTATTACACTGTCACACTCACCACGTTGTCATATTGCATCTGTCACACTATCACTACCACATTGTCATCCGTCGCCGCCGACACACGAGTGTCGTTGTGGATCGTCGAGGGTTGACTGATCGCAATACCATATTACACTGTCATCACTTTTAATTTTCATCACATTGTCAATGCGTACAATTATATCACAGTGTCATTATACTCTTATTTTAGTATTAAAAGACTAAGACTCTTATATTGGTATATTCATTCTTTTTAGTCATATCCATTGCCCATGTTGCGATCAATTTATTAATTCTTCACGAGACTACGATTCACATCTTCATTACTTATGGTCTTTTTACTTGAGTTGGAAAAAATTAATTTTCAACTTTTTACAATTTTTCAAGCTTTTTTTCAATTCATTCCAATCTCTTTCAATTCTTTTCAGTTTTTTCCAACGATTAAAAATGTATTTAAATATGATAATTATACACTAACATGTATTGTATATCTAAATTTATAACTGTTACACAATCATAATAGTATTACTTATGGTAGTATTGGTTAAAGTAGTGTTTCATTATTAGTAAAATTTGTATTTTTATTTATGGTAGATGTAGTATTTTAGTTAGTTTCCATTCTGTATTTTCTAATTGTGTTAGAAGTCTCTCCTATAGATATACTCTATCATATACTCCATAATTCAATAAACAATAGTATCATTCCAATATTTCAACATGGTATCGAAGCCACCGCTTTTGGTGACCTAAAAGAGTTCTTTGCTTCCACCGCCGCCGCTAGTAATTCCGGCGATGACGGCTCCATCTTATTCACCCATACTTTCTTTTCCTTCTTTTGTCCTCAAATTAACTTCTCCATTCAAAAAAATAAAAGAAAAAAATCTCGTGTTGAAATCACAAAAAAGTGTCAAAGGAAGAGCTTCCCTTGTGTCATCTCTATGGTTCTTCCAAAAAAACGCCGAAGGGAAACATGCCCCCAAAATCCACAACCGCTCCACCGCCGTCTAAACCTGAATCTCATTTACCTTCAGGTCGATGTTCATCCTTCAATTTTCCAGACCAACAACTTCTCAAAAACTCTCTCAACTCATCTTCGCATCTTTTCAAAATCAAGAAAAATAATGATAGTTGTTTTTTCTCCATCACTATAGTAAAATCTTAGACCTAGATCTTTTCTCCATCACTAGTTCTTAATCCACTTTTTTATATCTAAAATCACTCATTATAATCATCAATCTCCATTCTCTTTCTTTTTTGTTAACCAATAACAATTCCAAGAAAATCAACACAAAAGTAAAGCCAAGAGGCCAGGGGAAATAGTGAAAGAGACAGGACATCGCGCGGATTCAAGAAAAAGAAGAATGTCAAAGATCTTCCGTCAAACAGGCACCTTTAGTAGCCTTCTCTATTCTTCTTCGACGTCAGCAACTGTAAGCGCACATCAATCTTCTCTCTTCTTCTTCTTTGACGTTAGCAGCTACTAGTACACGTCAATCTTCTTTCTTCTTCATCGAAGTCAGTAGCAACCAGCGCAAGTCAATTTCTCTCTTCTGCAACGATGTCTGCAGCTACCAGTAACGTCAAACTTCTCTCTTCTCCAACAATGTCAGCAGCCACCGATGCACGTCAGACTTCTCTCTTCTCCAACAATGTCAGCAACCACCGATGCACGTCTAAATTCTCTCTTCACAAAGTTTCCAGTTTTCAGCTAGTGTCCAAGCTTCCTCTTGCTTCAGCCAAAGTTCAGCTTGAGGGAGGATGTTAGACAATAATAATAGTATTACTTATGATAGTATTGGTTATGGTAGTGTTTCATTATTAGTCAATTTTCTATTCCTATTTATAGTAAATGTAGTATTTTAGTTAGTTTCCATTCTGTAGTTTTTACTTGTGTTAGAAGTCTCTCTTATATATATACTCTATCATTTACTCCATAATTTAATAAGCAATATTATCATTCCAAAATTTCAACAATAACATACTACTTCAAAGCTAACAAAGGTAAAGTTTTTATATCCAAAATTAGTTTTCTTGCCTATTTATTTGGATGATTATTAAGTTGAGTGATTTTTTAATGTTTTATTTTTTCAACATTTTTCAACCCCTTTTAATTTCTTCCAATTCCTTCTAATATTTTCCAACGCCTTTCAATTTCTTTCAACATCCCACTTTACTTTTACAATCCAAATGAACAGAGTCTACAGGTTATCTTTTTTTGACCTTGTGTCAAGTTGGTGTTAGTTTAAGGACTAAAAAATGTAATATCACAGCGAAAATATGTACAGTGACATATTCATGATGTTGGCTTGACGAACAACTTACAAATAATGACTATGACTATGGATTAAAATTCGGATTAGAAACGACATATTTAAACTATGTTTGTAGTAGACAACGACTACTCTAGTTGACAAATAGCTTACTAACAACGACGATATTGGGTATGACAAAACAACTATACGATCATTATGAAATTATATCTTTAGTCGTCAATTTAGCACCAATAACATGACAAAAGATAAAAAACGACTATTCATCGAAAAATATTAATAAAAGAAACTCCACATGCGTAATATTTGATAAACAACTTTGCTATACAATAATACTACTCTACGTTTGTTTAACATGACAATGAGACCAATTGTGTAAGAGTTTTTTCGCTATGTCTAACGTAATTACTCTCTTATTAAAAACCATAATTCCTTCCAAGTAAGTAGATGAAAGTCAACATAAACACAAATAACTAAAATGAAGTAATGCATTGATTAATATTATTATAAATTTGTAATTAATTAAGAGGTCTTGTACAAGTCTTTATCTTAAATGTTTTTGTTTTAGAAAGAAACTTCTTTCTTATTAGCTAATGTAATTATATTGAGAGTTTTACCTGCCTCTAATTTCAAAGGCTCCAAATGAGCCTCATAGATACAATGAATATATATTTTAAGAAACTTTTCATATGACTACTTAAAAGAAGATGAATAAAAATTATAAAAATAAATAATTAGTGCATGTTTCAACCTGCAAACTACGCACGTATCGATTATAACAACGATATACGCGCGTACAGAGTATATTGATTATTTAAATGTATATGCATGAACTTCCGATGAAATGGAAACTAATGCACAATTCTCATTAAAGAATTCAAGATAAACATTGCGAAAAAGCTAAAAAGTTGTTTGATACTTTAATGGAGCATGTGATGAATCAAACTTGTAAACTGTTACATGAAATCCTATAACTAATCTATACCAGTATACCTAAATAAGCCAGTATTTGAACTCCTTTTATCGTTCAATCTCTCAATACAAATGAAAATTCTTCTTGTACTCTGTAATAAATACTGCGTCTCGAGCAAAGTGCGTAACATATATCATTGTTATTGTAACATGTTAATAATATTTAGTATTATATGTGTATTTAGTAAAAAATATATGCATGCACGTATGTATATATTTATATATACACAAACTCATCTCTATATTAACTTTGCACCCTCTACATATTTTTCTTTCATTTCTAAATGAATATAAACTATGCAATTTTCTGTTTTAAATTGGCGCACAAATTAGTTTTTCTTTTTCACAAAAAATTACGGAGTACAGTAATTCGCTCAAAGTATATCGGCGTTGTTTTGAAGAGGAGAAATGGAAAAAATAAAAAGAAAAGCGAGAGATTCACAAAGCCTCTTTTCGTAAGTATCCCTGCCCGTCTTTCCTCTTTCCGTCGATCTTCTCCGGGGATCCGATTGCTTTCTCGGCAAGATTCATCTTTAGACTTACAAATACAGATAGGTGAGCTTTCAAAAGTTCCAACACGAAGTCAATGTCTTTTAAATCACATTATTTGAGATGTCTATATGCACGAACTTATCAGTATGTGTAAAATCAGGGTTTCGTATTGTTGTTGCTTATTTATTGCTTATTAAATGTGAATATTGAGATGTTTCAATGGCTTCAATTTGTAGAAGCTCTGTTCAGATGGCGCTTTACTTCGTTTGAAACTTGATAATCCTTATCTTGTGATCTGGTAAGTTTTATTAGTGTTTCACTGCTCTTTAGAACTCAGTAAAATTATTGGGGAGGCATGATTGTTCATACTTACTTTGGTGGTAATTGAGATTATGCAATCAGCTGGGGATTGAATTTTCAGGAGTAGTTTTGGATTTTGGAACTCGGAGTTATCACCATGTCGATGAATCAGCGTGCCACAATCGACTTAGAACAGGGATGGGAATTCATGCAGCATGGCATAACAAAGCTGAAGAACATTCTCGAAGGGCTGCCGGAACCACAATTCAGCTCTGAGGAATATATGATGCTATACACGTATCCTTCTAGAAACCACATCATGGTGTTTTTTTAGAGAAAATGTAGCTCTATTTATTTTCTGGGTTCCTTAAATCTCATCTACAGAACAATTTACAATATGTGCACACAAAAACCACCCCATGACTATTCACAGCAGTTGTATAACAAATACAAAGAGGCATTTGAGGAATACATCACATCAACGGTTAGTTGTTTTATGCAACTATAGGTGAATGTGCAGAGGAGTATAGTTGCGCAACTACAATTGCTATATTCTCAACTAGCTTATGCATATATTCTACATCTGGTCAACTTCATCTTAAAATTGTTGAAACCAAAGAGAAAAGACAAGGTGGAAGAACAATGAACCATGAAATGGTTTTGGGGTTGAATTTAAAAAAATTATCAAGTGGTTACTTTGTGAGGACTGAGAATATTGCAAAGCCTTAGTTGCTTTTCCTATCTTCTGTACAATTGAGCTCGAGAGAACTATGTCACTATTTGGTTTCTAACTTTGTTTTCATGTTGTAATTTCTTCCAAGTTCAGGTGCTGCCTTCTTTGAGAGAGAAACATGATGAGTTTATGTTAAGAGAGTTGGTGAAAAGGTGGTTAAACCATAAAATCATGGTGAGATGGTTGTCGAGGTTCTTCTTTTACCTGGATCGTTATTTCATTACTCGGAGATCCCTACTAGGTCTCAATGAAGTTGGATTAGCATGCTTCCGTGATCTGGTAACTATAACTATTGCCCACAATGCTTCATCATAAATGGAATCCTTATTTTTTTGCCATTTTTTATGAGTCTTTCCTCTGTGCTTGTTACAATTGGTCTTGAGCTCTAACCACACGATGAATATCTGTCTCACTGATTTAGTTAAGTTGGATTAACATGTTTTTTTCTACTTTTCACACATTGTCCCATTACTTTTGCTTATATAAGATATTTTTTTGAACTACTACAAATATTTTAACGTTAAAACTCTAACATTGAATCAGGTTTACGTAGAGTTGAATGGCAAAGTAAGAGATGCTGTTATATCTCTGGTATGTTTCTGCCAGTGAGATCTTTTTCTATCTCAAGCCCTCGCTTTGCTATCAGATGTTAACTGACAATATTGATAACCAGATTGATCAAGAGCGTGAGGGTGAGCAGATCGATAGAGCATTATTGAAGAATGTGCTAGACATATTTGTTGAAATTGGAATGGGACAAATGGATTATTATGAGAATGACTTTGAAGCAACTATGCTCAAGGATTCTGCAGCCTATTATTCTCGAAAGGCCTCTAGCTGGATCTTAGATGATTCATGTCCGGATTATATGTTGAAAGTGAATATCTATGACTTTTATCTTTTTATTGATCCCCCTTTTTGAATCTCTCCTCACTCTGTCATTTTCCAAATGCAGTATTTTCTAATTTTTTTGTATCTCCAGGCCGAAGAATGCTTGAAACGCGAGAAGGATAGGGTCTCTCATTATCTACACTCAAGTAGCGAGACAAAGTTGCTTGAGGTTCTATCACACACCATGTCGTACTTTGCTTTTTGTTGTTAATCGTTCCAGCTTTCATTTCTACACCACACACATTACTTAAGCCGTCGATGCTAGCTTTCCTTCACTTTGAAGTCATTTCTTTTATCCATTTACTATTTCAGCAAGTCCAACATGAGTTGTTGGCTGTGTATGCCACCCAATTGCTTGAGAAGGAGCACTCTGGATGTCATGCATTACTCAGAGATGACAAGGTTCTCACACACAAATTACTCCGTATTATCTATGTGAAGTATTCACATCTTTTTTCTTTACAAATTTGCAGTCATTTGATGCGTACAATTTCTCTTAAATTGTTTTAGGTGGAGGATTTGTCAAGGATGTATAGGCTTTTCTCGAAAATACCTCGAGGGTTAGAACCTGTTGCTCATACTTTTAAGCAGGTCTGAATTCTCACTCCTGCTCTCTATCTGAAAGCGTAACTCAAAATAAAAATTCTGGCTAGATTTTGTGAAACTTCTCAGTTTTGTGCTTTCCCTTGTGATGTAGCATATAACTGCTGAAGGCATGACTCTGGTTAAACAAGCTGAAGATGCTGCAAGCCATAGAAAGGTGTGTGTTTGTGATGCCTCTGTACTGTTCTTTGTGGGTTCTGCACAGAATGGTTGATTTATAAAATTTGGATATGTCAAAGCAAATTATCTCTACATCATATGCTATGTATTACTACTTACACAACTTGGTCTGGGAAGAGATTATCGAGACTATGTTGAGGAAAGGGGTGATTATTTCTGAGAATCAAATTGGTTTCATGCCCAGCTGGTCAATTACTGCTGCCATTCATCTCGTGAGGAGACTCATGGAGCAGTATAGGGACCTAGACATGGTGTTTATTGACTTGGAGAAGGCATGCGACGGGGTTTCTAGAGAGATCTTATGGAGGTGCCTTGAGCACAGAGAGGGATTGATTGCTTATATTCGGGCTATTGAGGACATATATGAGGACGAGGTGAAGACTCAGATGAGGTTGCTAGGAGGTGACTCTGACCACTTCCCGGTGGAGATTTGGCTACATCTGATATGCCCTTAGTCTTTTCTGATTTGTGTTGGCGATGGATCCAGGGGGAGGTACCTTGGTGCATGCTGTTTGGAGATGATATTATATTGTTCTGATTCATGGGACACGAGAGGGACTCAGTGATAGGTTGGAAGCGTTGAGACAGACCTTGGATCCAGGGGTTTTAGATTGAGCAGGACTGAGACGAGTGCATGAAATGTTGCTTCAGTGGTAGGTCAAGTGTGTTGGAAATGAAAGTGAGGATTGAATCACATCCTCTGTCCAAAGGGGCTAAGCTTTGGAATCTTGCTTCTATCATTCATGCCAATGGTGAGGTTGGTGGGGATGTTGCGCATCTTATTGGTGGCACTTGGGAAAATTGGAAGCTTACTTCAAGTCCTTTGCGTTAAGAGGATATTGGCAAACATGAAAGGGATGCTTCATCAGGTTGTAGTCAGAATGGCTATGTTGTATGGTGTCGAGTGTTGGGCAGTGAAGGATGCTCATGTTCAGAGGCTAAAAGTGGTAGAGACGAGGATGCTAATGTGGATGCATACAAGGATGGCTTAAATCTGGAACAAGGATATTGGAAGGGTAAAAGTGGTTTTTATGGAGGACAATTTGTGTGATGGTAGATTAAGGAGATTATGGTGATGTGAACATATACTGAGGAGAGGTACGGATGCCCTAATGATGAGGGGAATGAGGCTTGAGGTGTGGGGCATGAGGAAGGGTAGAGGTAGACCTAAGACGATTTGGAAGTAGGCGATTTGTCATGATTTACTCTTTCAGGATATTACCGAAGATATGCCCTTATATTAGAGGGATTTAGAGCCGTCTGGAGGTTTGGGGTTTTTGTTTGGGGGCTTTTATGCCTTAATATGCAGGCCTTAGATTGTGGTTTTTGTTTGGGTGCTTTGTAGTTTATACTTATATGCTTATTCTGCGTGCTACTTTCATTTGTTGATGTGTTCATATGTCTTGAGCCGGGGTCTCTTGGAAACAACCTCCCTACTCTTTGGGTAGGGGTAATATCGTTGTGCCCTTCACCTCCCCAGAACCCACTCTGTGAGATTTTAGTGGCACTGTTGTTATATCATATGTTATGTATAGTATTATAATAGTGACATAGTGTCGGTGTATTTAATGGCCTGGGGATTTGTTACACCAGTATGCAGGCTTGTCCAATTGTTTTCTTCTTAAATTCAAAGTTCCAAGTTATAGTCATTTTCTTTATTTTTTAAATTAAAAAGTCATTTTCTTAAAATAAACATCCTACTAATTTCTGTGTGATGTATTATAATTCTTGATTGGCTTCTTTGAATAGATCTTGGAGTGTTGACATTGTACTACTTGTCTACATCTTATGTTGTGAACATTTTTTTCATCATGATTTAATTTATTCAGATGAAATGTCTTATGGTGTGTTTGGAAACTTGAATTTGGATTTCAAATCTTGATTTGATCCAAATTACTTGTTTGGGAACTCTAAGAATTTGGATTTGGATTTAGAAAAAATTCTTCTGATTCAAATCTAGGCCAATTACAAATCCACACCTCTCCCCATGTCATTTGCAAATTCAAGCTCAACTTCTCTTTAATTTATAACTTGTAATTAAAGAGTGATCTCCCCTTATGCAACAACAATTCCATACATATCAACCGGCTTCCGTTACTGTCTTTTCCGACTTCAAAATTCAAATTATAGAAATGAAATTCTATGACTTCCCAAACAACATTTGGAATTTGAAATAATGAGAAAATTGGAGAACTGTAGAAGGGTGGATGTTAACATTCATGGGGTTTTTGCTATACACTTCTTTAGTAATTACTGTATTAATTAGCAAATGACTTTCTTTATTCGCATATACCTTGGCATTCCTTTGAGTGCGTGTGTGTGCACACAGAGTTTTTTATTTATAAATACTGATTATATTTTAAGAGCCACTGTGAAAATAAAGATTGAGTGGATAAACTATTTTTTCTCAATAGTGACTTTTCTTCTACAGGCAGACAAGAAAGATGTCGTTGGTATGCAGGAACAGGTATTCCTCAAAGTTTGTTTTTTCTAATAATTCCCGAACATTTTTTTGTGATTCTTACTAACTGAATAAAGTTTCAGGTTTTTGTTCGGAAAGTAATTGAACTTCATGATAAATACTTGGCATATGTAAATGATTGTTTTCAAAACCATACACTGTTCCACAAGGTTTGTAAACTAGAACACTCATCATCTTGTTGTCCTATGCATTTGTGTGAAATTGGTTTTATAATCTTTCCTCCCTCTCTCAGGCACTTAAGGAAGCGTTTGAAGTTTTTTGCAACAAGGGTGTTGCGGGAAGCTCAAATGCTGAACTTCTTGCAACATTTTGCGACAACATTCTTAAAAAGGGTGGATGTGAAAAATTGAGTGATGAAGCCATCGAGGAGACATTGGAGAAGGTTCTAGTTTTGGCTCCCTGATTTTTTCTATTAAAGCTAAAATCTATTAGTATCCATTTCATATTTGCAGGTTGTAAAGCTATAATCTATTGCTTTCAAAAAAAAAATATGCAGGTTGTAAAGCTGCTTGCTTACATAAGTGATAAGGACTTATTTGCAGAATTCTACAGGTAATTTCTCTTGTTACTTTTTTGTCTATTCCTTTTATTCTTTGTCCTTTGGCAACTGGCATCGATAATTTATGTTTAATGCCTTCTGCCCTCCTCTTTATGTAGATTTTGCTACTGAGTACCAACTTTTACTAGACATTTCTTTGCTATCTTTGTTCCTTGTCATGGAAAATAGTATGATATTGGTTGATTCATGTAAATCGACAAGCGAGTCAAAGGTGCATGAGGCGACCTTTTCATTTGGTTCTTGTGTCTTGAATCACACAAGGCACAAGACATGCACTTACATCTTGTCAACCTTTTCTTTTGGTTCTCTTGCTTTCCCTTCAACTCTACACTTTGGCATAATTTATTTATAAAATATATGTAAACCCAATCAGTCCATCCAATTATTACACAAAAATAGTCTGGAATCCTCGTCTTCATCTCAATCCATTCATGAGTTTGATGAGAGTAGGTCAGATGCATTTGAAACTGAAGATTGTGTTCGGGGATACAAGTCAGATATTAGAGTGGAATATGACAATATTATTTGTTGAATTAAGTAGTTTGTGAAGAGTTATGAGTCCTTTAGTTTTCTGCGTTTGTGAAAAGTTGTTCCGATCTAAGACTATTATTTTGCGGTCTGTACTCTGTAGGAAGAAGTTAGCTAGGAGGTTGTTATTTGATAAGAGCGCCAATGACGAGCATGAGAGAAGTATCCTAACAAAGTTGAAGCAGCAATGTGGCGGTCAATTCACATCAAAGATGGAGGGGATGGTAAGCTCCGTCTCTCAGATTGTTTTATATTTACTAGTCCATAATAATTTGATTGCCTTGCCATTCTCTTGTCATTACTTCCCTGTTTCTTATTATACCCCACTTTCCAGGTCACTGATTTGACTTTGGCAAGGGAAAATCAAACTAATTTTGAGGAGTATCTCAACAACAATCCTGTTGCAAGCCCTGGCATTGACCTGACTGTTACTGTTCTGACTACTGGCTTCTGGCCAAGCTACAAGTCTTTCGATCTTAACCTCCCAGCTGAGATGGTATTCTCACTATACTCCAATAGAAGCCTTTAATTCCTATTAAATGGGGCAGTTGATATGATTATACTATTTTTCGCTTTTCCGTCTATAGGTTCAATTTCAGCACTTCACTATCTACAATTTACCGCAAGGATTTTTCCGATGTGTCATGGGTACATGATAAAGAATTACTTGATGTGCTTCATTTTCAAGTTTTAGAAAGGATTTTATAATTTCAAGGAGAAATGAATGTTATTAAAAACTCGATACGATTATCATCACTAAAATTCAAATGTATCATTAGTATCAGGCATAATTTAAGAAGACTATAAGCATTCAATACTCATTTATTGTGTCCTATCATGTGCCAATGGGCACACTAAAAAACTCCTTGCTGTAACCCCTCACTGTATCCTGCTTCATTTGTCTTTATTTTTTATCCCTCTTAAAACAATGTTCATTTTCTCATTTGAACATCAATACCTTTTACTTTTTCCAATTTACATTTTCTCCCTTGTAACTTCTGGGTTGAACTGAAACTGGGCACATTTGAGGGACAAAAGTTTTTTTTTTTAAATGAAAAGGGGGCAAACATTGGATGACAAAGTGTATAGTCCAGGTTTGAGTTGGATTACAATTTCCTGTCCCACAAAGTTTTAAATTTTTGTGAAATTATAACTATGGCATCGTTTTTTACCGCTTTGAATTTGAATGTTAGGTAAAATGTGTGGAAGTGTTTAGAGAGTTCTACCAAACAAAAACAAAGCACAGGAAGCTTACATGGATATACTCACTGGGTACTTGTAATATCAGCGGACACTTCGAGCAGAAAACGATAGAGCTGATTGTGACTACTTACCAGGTTTTTAAATAGCATACTTTAAATTATTAATCTATATATGTTCAATGTTTTCACAAGGAGCTTGTTGGCATTTAACTCTTGTTGTTTTTATTGTCAATAGGCTTCTCTACTGTTGCTATTCAATACATCAAATCGTCTGAGTTATCAGGAAATTGTGGGACAGTTGAACCTTTCAGACGATGATGTTATTAGACTTCTCCATTCATTGTCCTGTGCAAAGTATAAGATCCTCAAAAAGGAGCCAAGCACCAAGACTATATCGCCTTCGGATGTCTTTGAGTTCAACTCAGAATTTACAGACAAAATGAGGAGGATAAAAGTAAGAGCATGTTTTTTGCTTTTATCTAAAGTGCTTCCTCATTTAAGCACTTCAAGTGTTTTCTGTAAAAGCACAAATCTTCTCTATTCTTGAAAGTGTTATTTTCTAATCTCCAGTCAAAACTCTTGTTTTTAAGTAGAGGTACAAAGCACTTATTTCCTGAACATAAGCCATCAAAAACGCTATCTAGTTTAGTATCAATCTATTATCGCTAACCTTTCCTTTTTCGTGTGGGTGTTACTTGTATTGCATATGTTGTTAATCAATGTTGAAATATGTACTTTGTTATGTAGATTCCTCTCCCACCCGTGGACGAGAAGAAAAAGGTGATTGAAGATGTAGACAAAGACAGAAGATATGCTATTGATGCTTCAATTGTGCGCATTATGAAGAGTAGGAAAGTTTTGGGGTATCAACAGTTAGTCATGGAATGTGTTGAGCAGTTAGGGCGCATGTTTAAGGTAAATAATTTCAAGTTCTTTCAATTCTCCGTTTGATTTTTGTTCCCTTAATGTTCATATTATTATTATTATGCAAATTGTGTGTGTCTCTCACTCAGCCTGACGTCAAAGCGATCAAGAAAAGGATTGAAGATTTAATCACTAGGGACTACCTTGAGAGGGATAAGGAGAATCCCAACATGTTCAAATACTTGGCATAATGATGATGATTGCTATTATAGTAATAGTCGTCGAGAATCAATATATATGTCCTTGTTGCTGATTTTTGAGTCTACAGCGGGAGAAGTGATGCCAACAAAGTCATGCTAAAGTTGTATTGATTTGTAAAATGCTTGTTGAAAGGGAACGCTATGTGCTTTTACTAACCCTGTCATGATTTTCAAAACATCAATTTGTATATTTCAAGCACCCTAATTACATTGGGTACTCCATGTTTTTCTATTTTTACTTTCTTGACCTTGTTGCTATTCTCATGATAGATTTTGCACTCAATTTTTTTTATTGGGGTACTGTTTGCCTCCCCACCCTACCCCCCACACCACCACCCACCAGATTACCATTTATTAGCTTTGTGGGTCTAAAATTTGAGCTGTGGGGCGTATGCAAATATAATTAGTATATACTCGCTACATTTGTGAAGGTAAAGTTGCTCATGGTTTCACAATACAATATGATATGGTCTACTTTTATAAATAAGTTGCAAACTGTCCTTTTCATTGACATGATAACATTTTGGGTGTTGCTAAATCTATCCCATTATGACTAAATTCATTCTATTTATGGTGAAATGGACAACTTGAAATATACGTCGAAGGATATCAGGCGTTGGCTAGCTTTTAAAGATAAATTTGTCCATTTAACATAAATAGAGTGGATTTAGCCCTAATATAGGTAGACTTTGGAACACCATAGCATTCTAGATTGTAAATTTAAATGGGAACCCTTTATAGGATTATACCATATGGCATATCGGAGTATATATTATTAATATTTATTACTATTATTATTAAAGTAATTAATTATTTATAATATTATAATGTACTAAAAGCTGAACTTGGCGAAATCAAGGGATTTCTTGCCCTGAAGCTTGCTGGTAACATAGTGTTTGCTGAATTCGCCATGGTTGTAGGTCCTGAATTGGGCCGGGTTGTCTTCGGTCACCATTTCCGGCAAAGGCCCAATTTCCATTTCGTAACTTGGCGCATAAAATGTGACTATCGACAGCCTGTCCCTCTCTTTGTCCGTCACCGCTCTATGCTCCACGCTCTTATATTTTCCATTAGTCAGCACCTGCAATTTTGTTCATTTATTATTTATCAATTTTTTTTTATAAAAAAAATTACATTACAATTTAATCTAATTTTACTATCCAATTGAGAATCAAATTTTTATAAAGATGTTATTTTATTGCATTGATATTCAATAAAATATGCTATTATCACTTATTTTGTCCCCCTAAAGAAACTTTACGAAGGAAGTAAGTATTTTATTCTTTAATTGAATAATAAAATACCTCGATGGTGTCACCGACGTTGATGACGAGAGCATTTGGAAGAGAGGGAACTTGGACCCATTCATTTTTATCATTGAGTATCTGAAGGCCCGGCGGGCCGAAATTGGGCTGTTGCAGCACAGTAAGGGCACTCCCGTCGGAATGTGGGCTAAGGCCCAAAACGAGATCAGGCCTGGGACATGGCGGGTAATAGTTCATCCTCACGGCCTGCACACACCCCTTCGCAAATGCCCTGTCGAAAACGTCGCCGTTTCCGTTCAAAGTGATTCCTATATACTTCATCAACTTCTCGCACAATCCCTTCATTTCTCTCGTGTATGTTTCCACCGTTTCCCTGCCCGTTTGAAAAGATGAAAATAGCTTCTAGAATTTGTTTTTGAGATAATGATTATAGAAAAATTGATATTTTTTCTAGATAAAACAAAAATGAGTAAAGGTAATAATGATTTTTTAATCGAAAAAGAAATGAGTGGGTGGGTGGGAGGCAAAGATGAAACATTATAGAGATGAAGGAGTAGGTAGAGATACATACCCGAAGTGAGGGGGATTGGAGGGCCAGAGGGAGGGAACCCTAATGGAATGGGGATGAACCCCAAGAGCAAACATGTTGCACCAGTCCAGTTTCTGGTCTTGAGAGAAGACGAAGGCCTGGCCATACCCCTGTATCCCTCCCGGGGCCATCGCGTATTTCCTCTTCTCCTCCAATGGCTGCATGAAGAAATCCATGGCCAACTTCTCCATCTCCTCCAGTAACCTCTTCTCTACCCCATGGTTCACTACCTGCATGCATGCATGTATATATGAAACATGCAAGTTGGGCTCGGAAAATGTCAAAATGGGTCGAGCGTAGAAGGCAGTTGAGGTAGGTTCGTTAGGTTATTTAAGAAAAGTAAGGGCAATTGTGTCTATTATTTTGACGAAATTGAAATGTTCTATGGGACATGTAATTAAGAAGTGAACGTTGAAATGTTTTAAGGGACGGAAGGAGTAATTACTTGAAAGAATCCCCAATGCTGGCAAGCATGAGAGAGGTTGGAAAGTTCATCAAGGAAGAGGGGAGAGTTGACGTCGTCTGATGAGGTGATCAACAGTTTGCTTAAATCAATGACTGGGATTCTGATGGTGTCTTCTTCTTGTTGTTCTGAAGAAGAAGAAGAAGAAGAAGAAGAAAAGGCGGGTATGACTACTGTTGGCCTCGTATCGGCACCGGGCGCCATGCCTCCTTTCACAAACCTCTCAGGAATGACAACACTGCTTGAAGAAGAAGATGAAGAGAGTTGTCCTTTGCGCACCAACTCTTGTACGTCTTCCACCTGATGATGATGATGACAAGCACCCATTATATTATATTACTGATCGATGAGTTATTATATATATATATATTGATCTGATCTATCTATAACTATACGTACTGGAATTTATTTGATTGGTACGAAAATATATATAATGATCCCAATTTATAGGGAAACTACTTAGATGGAATACGTACTACATAGGTGGTGACAAACTGCTATATATATATATATATATATATATATATAANACATACATACATACATACATACATACATACATATATATATATATATATATATATATATATATATATATATATATATATATATATATATATATATATATATATATATATATATATATATATATATATGTATGTATGTATGTATGTATGTATGTATGTATGTATGTGTGTGTGTGTGTATATATATATGTGCACCTTGCTTCAAGTGTGGGTGCATGGGTCTGGCCTACTGCTTCTACTTTATCTTATGAGTAAAAATGTAGTACTATACGTTTTTATTTCACAACGTAGTACCACTATTCAATGTCCACTGGTCATTGTTCGAGTAATTATCCGGCGCAGCTGGACATTGTTCAAACTAAATGTCCACCATCACTGGACATTGTTTCTGCCACTAGATATTCTTCAAGTACTATTTAAGCAATAAAAAAATTTAAGTAATACATTGCGAAAGGATATATGTTTTAGTACTATTTAGTACAAATTTCACATTATCTTAATAGTTCTTTATATTTGGAGGGTTTTCCAAATTTAGTCTATATTTATCAAATATTATGTTCACTGTCATTATTAATTGGGTACCGTTCAATGTTTGGTCTTTCATCTATTTTTAATTTCCGTCTCCGTTCCGTTAGACAAGAACTAAACGTGGAATAGTACTCAATCAATAAGGACCGTGAAAATAATATTTGATAAATATGGACTATATATATGAAACATCCCTGCTTATAAAAAACTATTTAGAGAATTTCCTCTTTTTAAACCAATTTAATATAGAAATTAATAAATATGAAAAGTCTATGATTGGAGATTATATATAAAAAGTCAAAATTTGTACATCATTAAAAATAGGAGGACCAAACGTTGAATACTACCCAATTAATAAGGACTGTCGATATAATATTTGATAAATATAGACTAAATATGAAAACTCACATATTATAAAAGAATATTGAGAGAATTTACTCATATTTTATTTCTCTTTTTTTGAAAAATAACACTTCATTCATCCCAGATTCATTTAGGCAGTGTTTGGGAACTAGATTTATTTGAAATTTTAGGTTTCAATTTGAATATTTGAAACTTATTATTTCAAATTCCAAATGTTGTTTGAGAAATCTTTAAAGTTCAGTTTTATAATTTGAACTTCGAAGTCAGTAAATACGGTAAAGGAAGCAGATTGATATGCATAAAATTGTTGTTGCATAAGGAAATACTCCGTATAATTCTTTAATTAAAAGTTATAAATTAAATAAAAGTTCGGCTTAAATTTGTATAGGACATTAGAAGAGGTGTGAATTAGTAATTGAGTTAATTTTGAATTAGAAGAATTTGGTCCAAATCCAAATTCAAATTCTTTGAGTTCCCAAACAAGTAGTTTGGATCAAATCTAGATTTAAAATCTAAATTCAAGTTTTCAAACAAACCAATATACTTTCCGAATAACGTGCAAAATGTCATCCTTCATAAAATAATTTTATTATAATTTAGTATAGAAATAAAGATTACAAATTATATGCTTCGTATTTAAAGATCGACTATATTACAAGTATGACAAAACAAGATGCGGAAAGAATGTTTTATTTTATCAAAAGATCAATAAAAATACAAAAGTTAACAAAACTTATCGAATAATAATAAAAGTGTAAATCATTAAAGTATGGTGAAAAGGAACAATTAACAAGCATATACCGCAAATTGTTCTTTGAAATAATTTAATTAGGGAGAGGTTGATTAGTGCGTGAAGCAAAAACAACGGCTCTTTTGACATGCCAAAACGTTTGGAATTCTACCCACTATCTTTATACCTTCTCAAATTCACTCCATATAAATTTGACATTCCCAAAGAGTAATGATAATTTGGAACAAAATACAAAATCCAAATTAATATATTGAAAAAAAAATTACTACACTCCAATAATACAAAGACCATATATGGATAAAGAGTACTTCCTTGGTACATCTTGGATGCATATCAATTTTGTGGATCTTCCACATAAAAGCTATTTTTATTTTGTTTTTTAATTTAAAAAAATAAATATTTATTTAAATAATAAAAAAATGTTTATTTTACTCATATGTAGGTCCAAATTGCATTAACCCAGATGCGGATTAAAAAAGAGGAGGAGCAATGGAGCATGGTAGACGCAGATAGGAAACTCCTATATGTTGCAAAATTCATATTCAATACACACCTAAAAAAATTATGAACGTTGATTACAAATAATGGTCAGAGACACTAATTCCCAAAATCTCCCCCAGCCGTATCTTCAAACACTTTTCCCCAAATAGTTTAATATGTTTCAAATAAATATCCCTATAAATAATTTCACATCACCCAAAATTCAAAATTGCTCAAGAGATTACTTAACAATAACAGTTACAAACATTCCAACCAAACAAGATCTTAATCTGCACCGATAAACATCATTCAAGAATCCAAAACTCATAATGCTAGTCCCAAATGGACATACATAAATATATATGGTGAAAAATACAAAGGGGGGGGCATATATTTTTCCACCGTTGAGTGCAAAGGATGATGATCGAGTTCAATTGAATGATTACATCACCACAAAGAAGGCTACAATTGGGTCGGAATATTGGCAGAGTCAAAAGTTTGAGGCCAAAGTGGCTTTTTGTATTGGCTTAATTATTTGTCAACTCTCTCCTCAAAATGGATCCTATTGTAAAATTTAACAAAACAGAAGCCGGGCCCCTACCTGCCATATTTTTGCCCCCTCTTGGAGCTTGAACATCCCCTCGTTCTTTTTATTTTTAGTCGTGGTTTACCTCTTCTCTATTTTCAAAAGTTATTTGTAAAATCTCTATGGTTTCAAAATAGTGCACACATGTCACCTGACCTATTTTTTAATTTAAAATGACATTTATGCCCTTCTTTATCTCTATCATGAAGTTATTTTTTCACTTTTAATTTCCTTGTTTATGCAAATAAATGAAATAACATATATGCTCTCCATCTCAAATAAAAAATTTTCATTTATTTATTTTTAAAAACAAAAGATTTTTTTTGGAGATTGCTAAAAAATAAAATAAAGTACTCTGTACTAAGTAAAAGAAAAAAAGACACAAAAAGTAATGAAAAAGAAAATAAAAGGAAAAAGAACTAAACTAGAAGTAAAACATGGAAAAAAATATCAAAATAGGAGTTTCATGTTTTTTATATCCAAAATAATATTAAAATGCCAATAATATCAATATATAGTACCAAAAAGTACAGTAATATGTCATAATACAGAAATATAACGCAACAGTGTAAACTTCTATTTTAGTAAAAATATGGCACTCTTATTTTAAAGATAAATGTTACTTATATTTTACTCCCATTTGGGTGATTTTCTTAAAGAACAAATAAAGAACTGTTTTTTTCTTTTGCTTCATAATTAATTTCATCTTTTTATTCTTCATTTATTAAATCCCAAAAAAGTGGTTTTAATTTTGAAAAATAAATAAGTAAAAAATTACTTCATCTCAAAAATAATGTCACAGTTCACTATTCAAAAATCATGAAAACTTTTTTTATTTTTATATTTTTCATCGATTATTTGATAAAATAAAATATTATAGTCACTTCTTGTTTTGAAAAACCTTTGACGTAGTCTTTAAAAAAGTATTTTTATACCGATCTTTAAGAAAAATGAATTGAAAAACATAAAATTTTGCTTTGTTTTGCGTAATGTGACAAACATGTTGGGACGAAAGAAGTACGAGTATGTTATTTTTTATTTTATATATTGCACTTTTAATTGAAATAAAGAAGGTATTTTTTTTATTTTTCTTTCATTACATTTTTCTGTTCTTTTTTCTTTTACTCGGTACAGAATATTTTATTTCATTTTTCTATTTTTAATTTTCTTTTGTAAAGTTCTCTAAAAAGATTATTTTGTTTTGAAAAATAAACAAATAAATTTTTTAAATTTGAGGTGAAGAGTGTATATGTTATTTTAATTGTTTGTATAAACAAGGTAAATTGAAAATAAAAGAGGGAAACTTTATGATAGGGAAAAAGAAGTGCATAAATGTCATTTTAAGTTTAAAGATAAGTTAGAGGGCATGTGTACACCATTTAGAAACCATAGGGATCTTACAAAGAACTTTTAAAAATAGAGAAGATTCTGTGCCAATTTGGGAAGGAAGGAGTAATAAAGTAAAATAATATTTTACATGATAAATATAATTCAATTATCTTTGAACAAATATGCAATGCAATTTTTGATTAATTGGTTATCAAAGTTCATTGTAGGCAAAGAGACTGGGACAAAGGAGTGTATGGGAATCAAATTTGTATTTACATAGAAGGGCTCATTTGGGATATCCATTTGGCCAGTTCAAATTCTCAAAACCAACATATTAGACATTCATTACAAATTTACAATCTTCAAAATTGTAATGCTCCGTAAAAGAAAAGGTGTTGCACAGAAAATTAATCGTCTAAAATTATATAAAGTTGTACACTGATGCAACAAAAAAAACATAGTTCATAGGTCTTACAATGATAGTTACCCTTCTCGACGTCTTACACAGATATCATGAGAACAACGTCCGAACTCTTGTTAAGCAATACATCATGAAACGACAATGAGTCTGAGATGGATGTTATATTCATGTTCCATTAGAAAGATTGATAATGTAAATTCCAAAGCATTATACCCTGCAAGGAATTGAAGAAAGAGATTTAACATAAATATTAAATAGTTCAGACATTACAATACTTGTGATATTGCAGTGTGCATCTTCTAGTACCACAGTGTAAGAACGTGTCGCAAAGACCGGGAGGGTCATAACTTGTGTGCTGTAATTGTGTGGTTTGTTATGTCCATTGCGAGACCTAAAAGAGACACTTTGACAATGGACTAAATTGAAAAGAGACATTAAGCTTCTCTAGCTTCTTTCTATGAAGTTTTAAGCGTAAATGCATCACAGGTCTAACAAAAACATCTCTGTTTTTTTCATGGGCAAGGTTGTGTACATCTTGACCCTCACACTCCATCAGCATTGGGCTATCCTGGGTTTGTTGTTATTGTTGTTGTAATTGTGCAATTTGTACCACATTTCAATCCAAGCAAAGAAACTATAGAAGAAAGAAATTTGGACCAAAGTATCAAAAATAAGTACTCTGTAGTAGCTATATGGACCTAAAAAAACAAGGATGTAGCCAATAAATTTGACATATACTCCCTCCATCTTGAAATATGGTTTCACAATTGACCGGACACAATTGATGAGGGAGTAATAATAATACTAATAATAACAATAATAATGATATCAAATAATAATAATAAGCGCACCTGAATCTTGTAGCCACTGCTCTACAGAGTACAAACCAAATTCCAGTAGCAACTAGTAAATGCATAAATCAGAACTATTACTGTCACCCTGAAGTCGGTCATATAAATCTGTAATTGCACCACTCAACCAACACACAAGAGGAAGCCACGAACCTTATGAGTTATGAGCAAATACTCTGCAAATTAGACCTTACGAATTGTTTCAAATATGAATACATTACACATTTACACCACTTCAACAAGAAGCAGACAAACTAGGAAGGTTGAACAAGATAGCAGATATGGTGACAAAAATGACATTTTTTTTCACTTATGTACACTGATGCCTAGTAAAAATGAGGAATTAAGAGTAGTCAAACCAGGAAGTGATACAGACAACACTTCCACTGCAGCAAAAGTAGAATCCATTGAGATGCTTCAAAATGGGGCGTACACGTTTATCACCACGTGAAGGTCTCATGGTGCAACAAAAATAGCATTCACATTTCACTCTAAAACCCTACGATAGGTGCCTAGGAAATACTTTGGTGTGCTACTCTTGAGTGGGATATACTAGGCTTGTTTGATTAGGTTTAGGACAAGTAAACAACTGCGAGATATCAATTTATCAGTGTATGCTGATTGCAAATGGTGATGAATCCATAGAAGAGTATAATGTATGTTGGAAATAATGAGATGAAAGTTAGAATCATGAAGGTCTAGGATAAGTGTAAAATAAAAATTTTGAACTGTGAACTTAGGGCTTGTTCTCTTCAACTTATCTTTTTGGTCCTCATCTGATTCGATTAAGTTCTCATCTGATCTGATTATAGTTATGTTTAAAGTTGTTTCTGATATGATCTGATTATAGTTATATTTAAAGCTTTTTCTGATATGATATGATTCCAATAAGAATAAGTGATACTCCTTAAGTATAAAGAATAAGTTGAAGAGAACAAGCTCTTAGCCCAATCAAAAATTTAAAAACATAGTGGAGAGAACTTAGATGGAAAGATTTACCTATAAGTCTTGTATCCGAGATATATAACTCCATCCACCCCCTTCTTATTTTCCCCATTTACTTTCTATGTCGTCCCTAATTAATCTTCATTTTTGCTTTAAGGAATGAATTGTGGTCTATATTAATTCTTTCATTTCTACATAAATTTCAACATTGCAACTTCATATTCTTCGAATTCATGTAAAAAAATGAGAACATTAAATACGGAGGAGGATCTTCTAGGGGTGGAGGCAATGTTTTCAAAACTCTAAGACTGGAGTTTTGTGCAACCGCTATCATATGCTTTACTCTAGATTTTGATGTTGGGCTATAGAGAAAAATCTAATTAAGTAGATGAGTGTAGTGGAGGAGATGTGTGGTACTGCTTGAAAGATTGAGTTTCCAGAAATGTGATTTGCATGAATGTGAGCGTAGTGACTACTGAAGTGAAGGAGAAATGACTAATTTGCCTCTGGAAGGTAAGTGCCAGCAAGGATAGTCCTGAAAATAACATTGACTAAAGGTGTAAGTATAAAGACATTGATGCATTGGACTGTTATCCCTGTTGAGTAGGTCTCTAAGTACATGACAGAAAATAGTGGATATTGAAGACACTACTTGATAACCTCCACATATACTCTATTGGTTCATGTAGCGGACCCTAGTGATTTGAGATTAGGTATTGCCCTAATGGTTGGAGATTATTATGTCCTATCTGCCCGGGAGAGGTAATCCTCAATGACAAGATCTCTAAGTCCATGTAAGAAAAAAGTAGAAACAAAGATCTTTGTGGATAACCTCCCAATATTTAATACTTGCTCATGTAGGCGTGCAGCATGCCCAAGTCATTTGGAATTAAGGCTTGTCTGTTGTTGTTGTTGTTGCCATGTTGGCAATTACTGCCAAACGAAGCATTGGTCAAAAATAGTGCAATTGTCAATAAAATAGAGGCCACCTAAGCATAAATAAATAATGCCAAGTTTAGGCAACTTACTTTGTGGCATACTGGTATGGCAGCAATTAATTGCACATCCAAATGAGACAACCAAGCCTAGCCTGTTTGGAGTCATATCAGAAGCACAAAATTTAAACACAATATTCACCTGGAAAAATGATGGCCTGACATGATATTCCATTTTTCATCCTTCATTGCACAACCCAAAATATACTCCGTATATTGAATTACATACCTGAGGCAATATCCCTGTTAAATTATACTCTTGTCCCATACGAAGGTTCCACATTTACTTTTTCGTTCATCCCAAAAAGGTTCCATTTTCCATTTACAGAAAACTTCATGTGGCTCATATTAATTCTCTAATTCTCTCCTTACGCCACATTGAACCACACAGTTCCACTTTTCTTAATAAGAGGGCCGATTCGACCGTGGAACCTTTTTGTGGGACAGAGTATGCAAACTGAAACATTGTTGCATGAAGGGCATCATCTCCATTATATATGTTTGTGTGTGTGTTTGTGTGTGTGACCTTTTGGAACCAAAACCACCACAAAAATATATGGAACCAGGAAGTATATTCAACTTTTGATAAAGAATGGAGGATGTAAACGGCCTCAAAGCATTTATATCTATGCTAAGAATGGATCGTTCAATCTATATTGGAACTGTATTCTCGATTCTCGACATATGTCACCTAAGCTTTCTAGGTCTCTATAATCCTATTTTCTCAAAATCCTAACAAAAACAAAACTAGTTTCAAAATTGCATCTTACATGAAATCTGCCCTTGTCCATGAAAAAGCATAAATTATACAACCCCCCCCCCCCAAACCAATAAATCTCAGGTTGATCGCAGTATGTCCTCGTCATACGGGAATAGTAAATAGCCGAATACTCAAAAAATTAGGATAATAGAAATCAATCCTGCTTTGTACACATGTACATAAGGATAGCAAGCACTTAATTGCACGCATCTTCACCAACTGCGAAATGCAATTCCAGGATCACATCCTGCATTAACAAGCTTGCTTGTTCAAGGAGTAGACTATATACACAGTTGTCTTATCTATTTCCACCAATACTTTGACGGTTGATGGCCTCGATTGCAAGTCGCACCAAACGTGTAAGCTCCTCTACATCCTGGAAGCTGAAATCAATAACTCTTTTAACAGATGAGATAGCCTCCATATTTTGAGCCTCTTCCAATATAATATTAGCAGCTGCAAATGCATTTTGAGCTCTTCTGGATGCCTCCATGGCAGCATTAACATCCTTAGCCTGCAAGATAGTATCAAAATACTTACTACCTTCAAACAGCATCATATTAACAGAAGCTGGACAATATGTGTCAAAAGTATTCCAAAACTGAAACACCATTAAAACAAGCATTAAAGGCATCAGTCAGATAGTGAACATGAATTGAAACAATAATATAATCAATAATCATAAACCCCCAGCATTGAATTAATGAATGCCACAAGCTACCCCACCCACACCACCCCAGTAAGAGACAGGGACACTGTCCAGTCACTTTATTCTCCTACACGTCCAGAACTCACTAGGTATAAAAGGTTCACATGATAAATTCCCACTGCTTCCTGTCTTTAGCCATTTTGATTTCAAGGAATGTGAAATTAATTGTTATACTCCCTCCATTTCAATGTGTTCATCCGCTTTGCTTTTGGGACACAAACCAAGGAGAAGGAATTTTGTTGGAGAGGTGACTGTAATGCCCTTCCATCTCTTTGGTCTCACCCAATGATATACAGATCTTTCGGATCAGGCCAAAGTGAACGGTGGAGGATTCGAGTTCTTCATAGGTGAACTCTGGCAAGAGAAGAGTGGTAGCGTGGTGGCGGTGGAGATAGACAGCAGTGGCGAAAGCGATCAGACAACACACAAACAGAAACCCGAAGCTCAGGAATGAGTACTGGATCCACAGCCACCGATCAGTTGAAACGGGTTTTCGATCAGCCAGCACTCCCACCCGCAGCAGCTCCAGTCATGGATGACAGCCAACAGGCAAGGGCGGAGAGGAGCAGGAAGAGTCTCAAACCTCAAATGGTGACCAAAGAAATTAACCGATCTCTACGGGATCAAGCAGTGGCTGTGATGCAGAGACAGTGGCGGAAAAGCAGGGGAGATCAAGAGCGAGCTGGAGCCATAGCGAAGGAGAGTAAAGGAGAGATTGGCGATAAGGGGTAAGGAGGGGCAGAGATGAACGACGGATGAAGAAACAGGGGCAGAATGGTAGGAAAGTGGACAAGTACATCGGGAGGGGCCACAAAGGAAAACTGGACAAACACATTGGGACGGAGGGAGTAGCAATTTAGGGCCATTTGATAGTATTAATTATGGGCGAGAATATTTTTTGCATGAATTCAGTGGTTAACTAATTTACTTTTGGACCACTAATTGACTATATTTCATGTTGCCAACCACGCATAGTTTGGATTAAGGTGACGATGAGGATGATCAATGAGAGCATTATTACACCAAGAAGTAAAGCATCAAAATAATGGCACTTCTACAGTTTCACTGTGAATAATCTTACAAAGTCGAGCAACCGAACAAAACTCGGACGGTTTGAAGGAGCAATAACATGAGTTTCATGGTGAGAACCATTCATCACTTTAGATAGAGCAGTCTTGTCGGTCATTGCTTGATTGTTTGTGTTATCAACATCAGACGCAGAAGATGAAGGAGATTCACCTGAATGAACAATGTAGACAAATAATTTATTTGAACAGCATGTTACCCAAAAATAGCATAGATATAATTTGATTGGTGGAGTTGCACATCCATATTTGAGCAAATGTACTTCAAAGTGCGCATCAAAAGTAGGAAATGCTTGAATATGAGAATGATGAGTCTCGGGCACTAAAGCAGGCAGGAGTATGACAGTTCTATACAACACTATGTAATCATAAGTTTGATATTTGTGCCATCTTTGATGTTGAAATCCCAGCAATTAGACATGTGTTCAAATAATACACTGAAGATATCATATTTTTATGTTACTACCATTAACAAAAGAAATTATAACAAATTTGTAACAGTCCAGAGATCACATGAGAATATGGTTATCACCTTGTGGGGGCATGGGCATTTGCAAACTAGCCTGCATATCAGGCCAAACTCGACTTGCACTCATGTTTTTGCAATAAACTACCCTCATGTATGCAATCTCCATGCACTTATAGGCCAAAGCAGCAGTGGCCATTTCTTGGCGTTTCTGATATTCATTTGCACAAGTTCTGCAGTTTTATTGAAGTACATTACAAAAAGAACAGAGTAGAAAATAAAACAACAGTCCAGTTGGATCCCACGAGAGTAGGGTCTAAACAAGTTGTAGAAAATATATTTTGAAAAATTAAGTCAGATTAGAAATTTAGTACATACTATAATGCTAATAGTTTTCAAAAGAAACTACACATCCTAGTAGAATTACTATCACGATTTGGAAATGTTCTAGAAATACTTTATTCTTACGCTACTTGTTTCTTTTCTTTTGTTCTTTGTGTTTGTTTTGTTTTGAGCGGAGGATCTCTTGGAAACAACTTCTCAACTCTCCAATTACAAGTAAGGTCTGCATACGCCATAAACTTACCCTCCGCAGACCTCAAGTTGTGGAATTTCACTAGGTTTGTAATTGTTGGTGTCTTAGGGCTTTAGATATGTGTGGCAACATCATGTTTGAAAGAGTAAAAAACACATGTTAATATGTTGGACAATAAATACCGAGTAATACATTAAAAAAATTGCAAGGCCAGATTAGGGGATACAACTGATCTAGGGATTAGGGAATATTTATGATGATTTTATGAAAACATAAAGTATGCAAGGTAGAATAGTATAAGAATTTTTTCCATAGAAGCTGAAATCCCTGCAAGATTACCAGGCATGATTACAGCCATCAAAGTAATAAAATTAAGGAAATAAAGCATCCGTAAAGCTTAAAATTTACAGCTTTCCCAAAACAGATGGCAATAAGTTTTTTAATTTTTGCCTTCAAAGAATGCACTTGTAGATCATTGCCTGCGAATTAGGAAAGTTGCACTTACTCGCAAAGTTTTGCTGTATTAGTATAGATTTGGATTTGATTCGTCTCCCGATATTTATTACTATCACCACTGCAGATTTCTAGAAGTGAAGCGCCATAAAGAAATTTCAAAGCAGCTTGGAAGTATGCCTCATTATATTCGAAATTGAATCCAGTGCTCTGCATAGAACATTTGACTAATGAGAGAACATTTGAATGCAAATGAAAACAGCTTTTCAACATGATCTTAATGATGATGGAAATATGCAAGTATGCAACATTGGGTTATAGTGTTAATGAGATACAAAGAAAAAAAGAGGGGAACTTTAAGAACCTTAAGACGGTCAGCGTAATCTCTGAGTTCTTCTGCTTCTCTCAAGACACTAGAAGCAGACTGATTGGAGGCATCCCTTTCTGAACAGTTTGGAGCATTCATGTTCCTATTTGCACTATGCACTGGAATAAGATGGCCTGTGCTGTTTTGGGTGCCGTTGTGGCAAACAACAGGACCAGTAACTTTTGACATTTTTGATGAAATACCAGCAACACAAGAATCCTTAGTTTGTGGATCCACAGGAGATACTTTGTGGAGCAATGGAGGTCTGCTGGCACCAGTTGAAGTGGCTTGCTTATCACCTGCAGACAGGTCAACCCCTGCCTTTTCCTCCCTCAAGCTCATTTGACTTGATCTTTCCCTCAGAATAGTTTCAGCTTCAAGCTCCGGATTTGGCTTTTGCTGAGTAGGAGCCTTCACATCCATGTTACACGAAGCATTTAATTTTGCATTTGACCCGTTTAACTGGTTATCTCTTCTCAGGCCAGTTGGTTTAGCAGTAACCAAATTGTCAACATTCTTACTATTTCCAAGCAATTTAGTGTCATACTCAAGACGATTATGAGTACCGTCAGTCTCTTCCTTCAGACTCTGAAATGGTTTCAAGCCTAGATTATCAACTGGACGATCAGAGAGCTTCTCTCCATTTTTTTGAGACCCAAAACCAAGATCCTTGTTTTTTTCTTTGGATCGAACTGTTAAATTTTTCCCAGCTTTCTGTTTGTGTAAAAGGTTCTTCATCCTATCCTTCCTATCATTAGAATTTGCAGCATGCATACATTCCCCCGATAGAACAGCATCACTCATACCTAAATGGGCATTTCCAACACCAGGAGAAAGCTTCACATCCGTATTGAACTTTTCTCTGGCATTAATGTCCGGAAGATGTACCACAGAACTATCAATAACCTTGGCATGAATGATATGATTCCTCTTTCTCGATTGCCCAGACCCATTGCTCACGAAATTGGTATTGCAACCCATATACTTTTTGGGGCTTCCCAACAAAGTGATATCATTATACTTACCATCATCCTTCTCTAAAATATGCTTTCTTGTGGATGAAAGACTATTCAAATTGCATGTCCTCATTGGGGATGAAGAAACTGACTCCACAGGAGAGCCTTTCACTTTGTCATTAGATCTTCTTTTACGGGGATCAGAAACTTTTGAAGTGCTTGAAGTGGCAGTTGTTGACAATTCTTCATACCCCAAATCCTTTCTCAAGGAATCAATATCATCGAGAGTTAGCTGAGGTTTCATCTTTACCTTGCACTTCTTCACCTGCTGGTCTTTCATAATTCTACTAACAGGACTGTTCCTACTCTTTGGCAAGATAATTTTGGTCACCACACCATTTGCTTTTGATTTTTGCTCACTCTTGCTTGTACTGGACTCATTTGCTTCAGTGTGAGACACCTTGCATTTCTTGTGTTTCTTGAATCCACCATTGCTGCTCTCGTCTTTGATTGACACTTTGCTAACTCCAAGATGACCCACATCATTTTGCAATGTCTCCAAACAATCTTTGTTCTCAAATTTTCTTTTCTTCGTAGATATTTCCCTTTCATTACAAGCCTTTATATCAAAAGACCCATTATCAAGAGAATCCTGCACATGATCTAGAGTTTTAACAGAGACACGTAATCCACCCCCTATATTAGACTTTGTTTCCTTCAAAGGCACATGGTTCTGGTGCTTCTTGATATACTTCACATGTGCCTTAGTAGGCAAATCCTCCATTATTAGGTCCTTGCTAGAAGCAATGTCATTGACAGCTTTTGTCTTCTTCACATCCGTATAGTCAGACAAGATGGGATCTCTTTTTATTTTCTTTCTACTTTTTTCATCGCCTGCAAAGAAATCATAGGAAGTGTTTAATCAAAGAGACACAGAAAACATTAATATAAAAAAAAAGTTAAGTCACGACACAAATAACATACCCATAACAACATGCTCACTCTGTTCAGTGAAATCCCTGTCACTGAATTTGTTTGAAATTGACCCTCCTGGAGGCTGGTTCACATTTGCCAAATATATACCTTTTGTCATTTCTACATGGGTGTTCTTTGTTAAGGTTGTGGCCACAATTGATTCACCATTTTCACTTTTTTTTACTTTATGCTTTTTACTTCCAGAATTGGTCATGTGATTAGCAGTCTGCGTGCTACCACCAAAGTGACAAACATTTGCTAAATTTGCCACACTTTCAGTTTTAGCAACATGATTCTGAACGTTATTGGGGTTCTCATGGAGTGGAGCATACAAAGCATTAAGAGCTGCAGTTGTTTCATCCTCACTAATATCACAGCTGTTCATTCCAGGCCTAAAGCATCAGAAGAAATGAACATTATATAAATAATACCAGTTTTTACTAACAATAAATCTCTATTGTGTGTAAGCGTTACACCTTCTGTCCCAAAATGAAGTTTGCGATTTAACTTTATGGAGTTTTTAAAAAGTGTTAAGGTTGATTTTTTTAGAAGGGAGAAATTTTGTGAGCCACATATTCTTTTCTTTTATGGGAAAGTGAGAAAGTGTAAACTTCATTCTGGCACATCCAAAAAAGGAAAAGTATAAACTTTATTTTGAGAGTATATGGCTAGTGAAGACCCATGCGCATCTGTTGGGTGGAAGAAACTTACAGCCAGTTTAGCATGCTGCAAATCCAACTCTGTGGCAAATGATCTGGCTTCATACCCTGTGGTAGAAGACGCCACTTCTCACAACGGTCGCATTGAACCCAGTCCTCTTCAATAAGAAAAGGGTCTGCCGGTGCCTCTTGTGTCTGTGGTGTACATTCCCTGGCGGGAGTTATTCCACGTGTTGAAGGTTCCTTCAACACACTCCCAAATATAGCCTGGCTGTCAACTTTTGTATGAGCAGATTTCAGTCTTGATGTATCAGAACTTGCTTTTGGTTCTCTATGTGCATCCAACTTAGATTCCTTTGACTTATGACCAGATGTCTTTTTTGGTACATCCTTCCTGGAACCCTTCTTGTTCTTTATAATAGCAGAAGAACCAGCACTTTTCTGGGCAAAACCAGAAGCAGACTTTGCGCAACATTGACTACTCACAGACTTCTTTTTTCCTTCTGAAGCCTTCTTCTTTGTGTCTGGTATATTTAATTTATCCTGTTGATGACTTGTAGCCTTCACATTCACTTCTAAGTGATCTAAAACCCCTTTAGAGTCTTTTCTACCCTCAGCGAGATCAGATTCAGCTATAACAGGAGCAAGAACTTGGTCACCCTTACTCAGGCAGTGTTCCTTAGTTTCCCTATGAGAACATCTTATCTGGTATTCCCCAATTTTCTCAACTGAGATGCTTTTTGCATTTTGATTCTCGAACTCCGCACCAATATGATCATCATCAACCAATTTGCTATGCAATAATCTGTCTTTCATCTTACCACTTTTCTTCATATGAATGACTTCATCAGACCCCCTAAAAGATTTGGACTTGAAGCTAGTGACTTTTGGTGATCCACCAGTATCACATCCCAAATCAAACAAAACTTTTGCATTCAAATCTGTAGAGAGAAACTGTTTGTTTTCAAAGGTCTCACTTCCTGAATTTTTCTTTAAATAGGAGACCATATCACCCCCATTATCAGCTTTACCTTTATTCTTTGGTTCCAGATAATTACCACTCTGGGAAGCATAATTTACTTTCTTCCGGGTCAGGTCATTAACATTCCCCATACTTGAAGTTGAAGCATCATTAGAAATGGACGAATCGGTGTGCCCATTCTTTTTGGTAGCAACAAGCTTAGCACATCCTAAGTTAGTTTCACTTCTTGACAAAGTAAGTAAATGATCATGAAGGGGTGAAAGGAGACGGCCCCCAGCAATTGGGAAAGATGTCATCACCTATTTGGGGGGGGACAAAGATAAAGGATATCAGCATAGCAGGGGATAAGGCTACGCCCCTGTCCAGCACAGGAGTGTCATTATGTTAAAAATATGTCAGGGGGGCTACTATCCATTCACTAAGGAGAAGTAAGCAGGAGATAAGGCTATGCACCTTGAGAATGCTGGCAGGAGATTCATTACAAGTTTCTTGAAATTCAGATGGCATTTCACCACTTTCCACAGGGCTACTATCCATCGATGAAGGAGAAGTAAGCCCAAGACCGCAGTATATTGCAGTATTTTTCTCTCCAGTCTTGTTGGGATGCACTTTGATACGAACTTTTAGTGTTCTCTGATCAGTTGAAGTAGGTGGCTTATTTAAATAAGGCTCGTCTTTTGAAATGCACTTTTCAGCATCGTGGACTGATGGCAAGCGGGATTCTTTCCGCACTGAGCCATCACCCAATGGGCCCCTTAAATTATGCAAGGAATGAACATTGCCAGAAATTGTGACTCCATTTTTCTGAGACAGAGTATCACTGGAGAGAGCAATAGAAGTCTGAGGGGGGATCTGTACCAAACCAACAAAATATAGCAAGTAAAAAAACGATCTCTTTGATTAGCATCAAGACTAAATATATCTACTCTACAAAAACATAAAAAGAATTTGTAAGTTTGCCTCGGTCACCGAATGCTTGGGAGACACTAGCATGTTGTGGTTATGAAATCTTGGCGGAGATTTAGGCTGAGACGATATTGAAGGAGAACGCTGATGTGCTGGGAGGAATGAACCATAGCCACCAAATTTTGCCCCTGCCAAGTAAAAGGGTTCCATGGCTTAATTTTGTTTCCACAGTGAAAAGATTAGATAACAAGTTAGCAACATGCTTAATTACCCAAGTTTTCTGCAGAAACTCCTCCTTCAAAATCTTTCTGAAAATGACCCAAAACACTTTGCAGCCTCTCATCCTTTGGAATAAAATAGTGGTAAAGAAATATCAGTTATACATTCTTCTATTATGAAGAACCAACATAAAGGAAACAAAATGTCATAGATCATGAGAACTAAGTGTGCATTTGATTTGAGCCCATGAATCCAAGCCTACAAATACAAAGTATCAGCGATGCCCTAATGCATGAGTTGTAAAGGTTCAAAGCAATGTAGTGCAACCAGTTTGCGAGGTTCAACACTCAAATCCTTCTGAATAAGAATCCTAGTTGCAGGTGTTACTCAAAACTCTCAAGATCCGCGATCAGGTAGCCAATCACAAAGAATCAAACTCAAATTAATATGTCATCTCCACACCTCCTTTAAGCATGATCAATTAGTTCCGTATGCTCATTTCTTTTTCGAATTACAACCAATTTAACCTCTTCATTCATATACACCTAAGTCTAATGAAATCAGTGTCCTGTCAATGCATCCACATCTTTTTTGCCTGGTTTCAGCGACACAGCAATTGTCATTTATGATGTTTAATTGATTGCGCTAGTTCTATCCAAATAATTAATCTTAACATGAAGACACTATATCAAGAGCTGAAGAGGACTCTTACAATGTAAGAGAGTGCTACATCAGGGTCAATGTTTGTATCATCAACATCATCACATGCTTGGTATGGTGCCTCGCCTTCCTCAAGCTCATAAAGTGGTTCCATTTTCTCCTCGGGCACACCCCCCACAGCCCAGAAACCCTAACTACAACCTAAGCAACCCAAAACCCTAACCCCAATTTCCCACCGCCTATCCTGAAGTCCAACATATCACTAAAAATCCAAAGAATCCGTGCCTGTCGGCACAGAATTCACGCAGAAAACACGGCGAATCGCAGGAACGGATTGCGCTGAGACCTCGCAGGTTCAGTTTCGTCGCAATCGCAGTTCCTGATCGCAACACCCCCACTTGATCGTGAATCAGTTGAATATTGAATGTTTCCTCTCCAACACCGAGTGTTGTAGAATGATCAACCAGTGTTGTTGTTGTGGAGAACAGCGATCGAATCGATTCTGAACACAATGCTCTTTCCCTATGATGTGTGGATTTAGGCTTTTTGTGTGCGCATATGAATATACCCCCCACAACAGCGTATAGAAAGAGAATTGGAGCTTCTCTTCTTTTTCTCAATTTTTCTCTTTCCTTAATTGCGACTATAGAGAGACCAGTGTATCATTAACGTGTGTCATACGGAGTAACAAACAAGAAGTATCCATTTTATCACCCTTTGGGTATTTCCTAAAAAACCGGCGTTGCTGGAGTAATTACCTATGGCCTTCTTTGAAATAAGCGTTTTCAATTAGCATCAGATAAAATATTAAGGGTGTAGATTAATCATTTAATATAATATTTGAGAGTTGATAGCCTAGAATTTTGACACGTGGCAAGTTGGGGCTCTATTTTTACGACACATCGGATTGACACGCGTCAAATTATTGGCTAAGCTCTCCTTCGTCCTTCCAGTACCCGTCTTTCTCCCCCGATATCTTCGCGCAGAAAGAAGTAAAAATCCTGGAAGTCTTCACGCTGAAAAGGAAACAGATTTCTCGCTGCCTTGGGTCACAGATGGAAAGAAATCACAGGTACTCCGCTACGCCTTTCCATTTTCTTCTTCGCTACCCCAAATTTTCCCTAATTTTTACCCGAAATTAGGGTTCATAAATAACAATCTGCTTTCTTCAATTGATTGAAACAATTAAAATCGTATTTCATTCCTAATTCATTTTCGTATACCCTAATTAGATTTGAGAAATCATATACCTAATTTATATTCTATTAATAGATGTATTCTTTCTTCCTATAATTCTATCTATATATACATTCTCCTCAAGAACAACCCATAATACCTGACTTACGCATACTATTTTCTGAGATTCTGATATTCATATTCCTTTTTGTTTTTTCGTTCAATCCGTGACAATGACCATCCATCCACTGTCGAAGATCACTCCAAGCAGTGAATGTTGGAGGATCATGGTTCGTGTCGTGCGATTGTATACTTTACCCGCTTATAATGATGAGAGGACTACAAATTCCATTGAAATGGTGTTCATGGATGAACATGTATGTCACCTTCTCTTGATTCATCATATTCCTTCTCATTTTTTTGTTATACATTATATTAGTTCTATTATTCTATATATGTTTTTCCGTGTGGTATTACTGGCATATTCTGAGTGTAGTTCTATTTGTTTTTTATGAATTATAAACCTGGCATATGAAAGCAGTTTGGCTTTTTTGGTTAGTGGCATTATTGGGATGTTGTTAGTGTGACATATTCTTAGTGTGGCATATTGTTAGCGTGGCTACTTTTCCAACCTTGATATTTCACTACTAGGACCTCAGCATGTCATATCATCAGCAATTTACTTGCATTCATTTGAAGTACTCTGTATATGATATTGACTAATTGTGCACCTGGAAGAAAGTTTAGTTGTATTTTTAAAATATTGAAACCTTAACATGTAGTTTGTATTGTTCTTTCACTTCTTTGTATATACAGAGTTCTCCTTGAACATCAAATGTAGATTTATTTTTTAAAAAAAACTCCCACCTTAAATATGGCAAACAATGTTTTTCATAAGAATGCAGTCTGGCCAGTATTTCTGCTAAATGCAGTGTGCTATACTTGGTGCCCTCTTATAGAAGAATGAATGCTTCGTGTATTATTATATAGACACTAAGCAGTCTCTACCATCAGTTTGCTTATACTGTGTTTGCTTAGTGTATGATTCAGATGTTTTGTTGTTTTTTAAAAATTATATTCAGATTTATTGTTCTTTTTTAAGAGGATATGTTGTTGCTGATTTTTTATGATGTTTAATTTGAACAAACAAATGTAGGGAACTACGATGCATGCCACTGTCCGGAGAAGTTTGGTTGGAACTTTTGAGAAGCGAATAAAGGAAGGGTATGTGTATGTCTTTGCCTATTTTGGCATCGGCATTAGTAGTGGAAATTATCGGACCTCTCGACATGAGTTCAGGCTGAATTTCCAACCAAGAACCACTGTAACTGCATGTAGCTGTGAGAGAATACCTGTGCATGGTCTTAAGTTGACTACTATTTCAGAAATATTGCAGGCAGACTCAAACTACCCGTATTTAGTTGGTAATAAATCACTCACTTATCCAAAATTTAATTTACTCCAATAAGTTTATGATTATATCTCACAAATTTTTTCTTTTATCAGACACTATGGGGGTCCTAACTGCTGTGGGCAAGCAAAAAGAAATTGTTAAAGAGTCCAAAAAGACAAAGATGATTGTGATTCAGTTAGAAGCGGATGGGTACTTTATTTTATCATAACTTTGTAGCAACGACAATATGAATATAACATCTATACAAGATTAATTTATTCTTTTCTTTTTACTTGGTGATTCA